GTCACTCACACCGCCTTGCCCCGAGCTTGCTCGTGATGGATTCCGGGCGTGGTTGGAGCGAGAAGGGTTTCTCAGATTCCGAAGCCCCTGTTGAAACATCTGGGACACATGATCAGTTAGCGAGATGCCGGATGACAAGCGTCAATCAATCTCCACCTACCACTTTCTCCACATCCGACATGGATTCTCCAAGCTCCTTGCACAGCGGTTGCCATATTGAATGCCGATGTCGGTTGTACGCGTCTGTCACCCTCTGGATCCGTGCCTCGTCCCAATCGGTGTCGCGCATCTTGGCCAACACCCGCTCGTGTCTTTTCCGACAGGCATTGGCTGACTTGTTGGGGAAATATCGCCGGTGGATTTCCTCCCAGGACAGTCCTCGACCCTTGGCGTCCAAGAGAATGTTGTCCTCCTCTCCGTTCCAGGGACCACTCTGTCCGGGACGGGGGATCACTTCCCGCTGCATTGGGGGAACCGGGGGCATGGAATTGGGGACCGATTGTAGATAGCTGGACATCATTTGTTGTTGGCCATATTGAAGGCTGTGGTCTGCATAGTGCAGGCTGTGCATTTGAGGAGCATTCCATGGAGCCATGCTTGGAGCCATGCTGGTGACCATATTGGCTGGTGCTCGAAGGCTGTAGGGAGCTGTTCGCTGAACTCGGCGTGCTATGGTTGGCTGCTTGGGCATTCCTTGGTCATGAGCCGGCCGATGAGTCCGAGGCCCGGTCGCTGAAATGGTTTGTCCGAAACAAAGAAAAAAAGACTTTCGAATTATGATTAAGAAGGTGGAGGAGGATGCGGAGGAGGAGCAGCGAGTGTACAAGAACAATGAAAAAGGAAAATGACTGAGCTGGACCTGTGCAGCACGTCGAGGACTGGATGGCATGGAATGGTTGTATGCCTGGATCAGTCGAGTCTGACCACCCCCTCTTATGAACAATTGCGTCCAGCGCAAACAACCTTGCCAGAGAACCTCAAACACACGGGCGTCAATCTCAGATTGACAAGAGACGCGGGAAACCCAACAATCCAAGCCGGGAGCCACCCAGTTTCATAAGTAGAAATGCTCGGGAATCAGCCCCAGGCGCACAAAGATGCAACGGCGCCTCGGGGAACTGCAAGAGATGTACATGCATGGTCAATCAGTCACGCCCGTCATTGGACCTTCCATGTGTAACGAGCAGATGAAACTCGAGCCTCAACCATGGGGCCATAATAAACTGGCGGATCATACCAATCTAGTTGCAGAAGTATATTTGGCACCCAGCCAGCCCTACCTCTGAGGCCACCAAGGCCAAGCGGGCCACTCGCGATAGAGTACAAAGCGGCTGTCGATCAAGCGAATCTCAGTAGCCGCTGAGGGACCAGGACCAGGGTCTTCAAGACGCCAGAGGTCAAGCAGTTTCGAGAATTTTGGGAATGTACACCCCAGGCACGCTGGCCAGTAGCAGAAACTTGGGATGCCCCAGAACTCTACCCTCTTGTTCACTCCATTGACGCAGATTGGCTAATCGTCTGAACGCCATGACGTGCGTTGGGACGGTATCGGGGGAAAATAGATAGCCGCTTGAGGATCCATTCCATCGAGGAATCGCTTGATACAAATTGGACCTCAAGTCAGAAGCTCTTGTCTCCAGGACAACGAACTGTTCGGCGTTGAATTCGGGCAGACCATCACCATACATACCATCTAGAATGGCCATCAGAAGAGACACTGTGTGCTTCTGATCTGTTCGACCGAGGTGGGAGGATATGAAACTCGGGGTCGCTTGCCAGGCGCTTATTTTCTTCCAACTCCTATATTTAGCTATGGCAGATTGAGAGCTGTGATTTGCGAGCCCACCACCTCGGCCGATTGCCAGGAGCCTTTTCCGGGAGGAATGGCACAGATGGGAAAGGCATCCAAAGTCTTTAGTCATGATATAGGGCTGCGGCGGAATGTTTGCCAAGTTCGCGATACCTGAGTTGAGTCTTTGGTCTCTACATACTTGGTCGAGGTGAAAGGAGATCGCCATTATGAATGCTGCTGACACTCCATTCATGTAAGAGTTCTCAAGTGTCCGACATACAAGATACGTCACTCGTCAAACCAAGATAGGATAAAGTCATATATTGACTATCCTGAAGACTGTCAGATAAAAAGACTGTGGAGTATTCTGCTTCAAACTCTTCTGTAAGTCTTGCATTAGATTCTTTTCGTTGGACCCTGCCTCTGAAGCTCCCTGCCTCACTGCAAGATGAGCTGAGGCCCTACATCAAAATGGTACATCATCAAGGCTCGTTATCCAGCAACCTGTCCCCTCGCTGTGAAAAATCTAAAACACATCCCCATACTTTTAAGCAAACCAAAGCCAGAATTTTGCCGGATAAGTCATTCATCTCCGTCCCCATCGTCGCTCGTCCCTCGACATCTTGACGTGGCGCCCATAGTAGTCCTCCTCCTCGATTGGCGTCACACTGTATACGACAGGAGTGTCCGAGAATGACAGTTGCCGCCGTTGCGTGCTAGTCTTGGAAGGAGACTTTTTCAAAATGCTTCGTGACGAGCTGCTGTTGACATAGGAATATGTTGGCTGTTGCAACGTCGAGTATCCCCGCTGGTTGAGTCGAGTGTTGCGTGCAGTTGGGCTCGCGGGTGACGGCGAGACGGGTGATTTCAGAGGTGACCTCAATGGTGTCATGGGAGACTTGAGTGACAGTGTTGGCCTGGTTGTTTGAGCAGTAGTAGAGATGCTCAGGGACAACTTTGGCTTTGCGGTGCGTGAGGCAAGCATGATTATGTCTTGGTTTGATTAGAAATGTGAGAATTGATGGGATGGTTTAGACAACAGATTGCAAAGGGCCTAGATCAAACGATCAAATTTGCTGAAATGGTGTTTGGAGGATATAACAAAAAGACGTAGATCTGAATAGCGGGGTAGTGGGATGTAAGAATAGCAGTCGAGTATGATAGAGAGTAAATATAGAATTGGACCAGCCAAATCTAGATGCTAAATAAAACGCAGGAATAGGAAATGCCAGACAATCAATGTGTGGATGAAGAGAAGGAAAAAAGCTGGGTCGAGAAAGCGGTCGGACGGGCGGTTAGATATAGAAGAGAAGAGTCGCAGCCTGGGCTGGTAGGGGCTGGTCATTGCGAATTGTCGTCTCGATTCGCTCTGCTTGGTCGTGGTGGTCCGTGCGTTGGCCTTGCATGATGTCCAATCACAACACTCCTTGAGGCGCTCACATTGTGTGATATTGTTGCTTGCACACCTTTCCCTCCAATGGCAAAGGCAGATTTCTCGTCAAAAGTCGGGCTAGTGGTGCGACAATATGTGATGGAATAAATCGGGAAAGTTCTCAAGTTCTCAAGTATTGCAATGACCTCGCAGACGGCTTTTCGCCTTGCATGAGTCCATGACCCGACTCACACTGAGGCTTTTGATCGGCATTGTATGCCTGCCAAGCACTCAACCCGTGAAACTATCGAGTTGGGGACTCTGTTTCTTTGCCTCGTTTGGTCTCCTGACAGGGTGACAAAGGTGATAGAAATGGTGCTGATGCGGGAGACCACATGATATTCACGATGTGGCTGGTTTTGAAGAAATCCATTTGATGCTGTCCGCGAATGATCGATTGCCGCTTCACCCGCATCTAGAGTTGCCCACAGGACGAGTTGGGCTGCGGGATTCGTAGGAAACGGGCGAGGTATATGAGAGAACCAGTACAGAAAGGACGACCCTTGCTGGTGATGACGGAAGACCAGTATATAGCTCACTGCTTGACCTCAAGGTGCATATGACCGTGGACAATGAAGGTGCTGTGGCTTGGAAGGCACGCAGGAGGATCCAGGCCAGCATGTTCATTCAGCCAGGTACAGACCTTGGATGTCCTAGTTCAGGTGTATACCCACCGTGACTCTAAACTCACCGTATGTAGTGACAGCGCGTCTTCGAGCTACAAGGTAGCCATTATTTGGTCCCCGAGAATCGTGCCTTACCTTATTGCTCTGTGAGTAATTGTAGTTTCCGTGAGAACCCACCTTTGCAGTTTCTTCGATTTAGCATCTTCACCTGTCGTTCCAGGTAAGCCCTGAAGCATAAGGCACAAACCGAAGCACCGTAATGGGCTTTAGGCAAAGTATGACACAGCTGTGACAGCGATTGACAGCCACATGAACGTTCGTCTCAATATGTATTGAGTTCGACTTGCCACCCGGCAGGGAAAACATAATCAATAGCCAGGCTCGTACAACATCGTCTTTTCGCCGCGATGTGACGGCTGCCATGTTCGACTTACCTGTTCAGAGCAATATGGCTGTTGGGCGTATGCAATGAGGATGGGTGATGTTTACATGTCGAGCAAGTGTCCTTCTGGTTGTCGATGGGCTGTGCTGTTGATCGCCTGGACCACTGCAAGTTCAGTGTGGCATTGGCATGACGGAATGACGGCGCAGAGTTGACAATGGCTGGTTAGACTTGCTGGGTGAAACTACTGGTGTGTGGATCATGCTGTGTATATACGGCGCAGGGCGAGTCATCTTCTGGGTTTATTTTGGATTGAAGTTTGCGTAAGGCAAGCATGTCAGTCGGATCTTGACGCCGATTCTTTGGCGGAAAAGGCGAACTATCGAGGCTGAAGCAAGGTGCGCGGAAGGAAAAGTGTGCTGAAATGACTGCCGCAACAAGATTATGATGAATCAGTCGAGTACGAGAAAAAAAGCCCCAGTCGAAATCGTTGTGATACATGTCGACACCCCAGTCGTCAATAAAGAGCAACTGTGGCTTTGCTTTTGTCGCCGTTGCCCAGTCCATAACCGTGTTCCCGCTGCGCCGAATGAAGTCGACCATTAACCATTCTGACTTGAAAACAACAGGGTGGTGTTGTGTCGCCGGAGCTAGCAGTCTGCATATCCCAAATACATGGAGGGATTCGGATTCCACGGCTAGAAGGCTGGAATTCCACAATTTCGTAAGGGAATGGGGCGAAAGCCAGGTCCCCTTTCGTCCATCCGCTTACCTGCTGGCATAACGATCTTCACGCGCATAGTCTCGACCACCTGCATACTCACGAGGGGCTTCATCGCGTGTAGCAGGAGGGTAGCTACGTTCGTCGTTGCGGTCATAGTAGCCACGTCGATCACCACGCGTGCCGCTACCGCCGCCGCTGTAGCCTCCCTCTTCGCGCCTACCCTCGTATCGATCAATGCCGCGGCCGCCGTAGCCTTCGTCGCGTTCGCGTCTGCTGCCGCCACCTCCGTAACCGCGTCTTTCATAGTCGTCATATCGAGAACCACCACGGTAGTCACCACGGTATTCACCACGATAGTCGCCGCCACGGTAATCGTCACGTCGGCCCGAATAACCTCCCCGACGGTCGTCATAGCGATCGCGGTATCCACCACGAGGTGGGCCACGGAAGTCGCCTGTTCAAAATCAGTACGTTGTGCCCAATGTCAGGATCCTACTTACCACGCTTGGGAGGGCCGAAGTATTTCCCTGGAGTGGGAGTACGAGGACGGGCACGCCGAGCCTTCTCGATGCTCAGGACGCGACCTTCAACAACCTCGCCTTGCAAGCCTTCCTTGGCAGCCTCTGCTTGTTCGTTGGAAACCATTTTGACGAACCCGAATCCTCGAGATTCTTTGGTATGGGGGTCCAACATGATTGAGCAGCTTTCGACATCGCCATACTTCTCGAACAGGCGGGAGACATCGGCTTCAGTGAGACGGGGGTGAATTCCAGTCACGAAGAGATTGGAGCCATTGTTCAGGGATTCATCATCGGCGTCTTTCATGCGAGTGTCAGATGGAGGGGGTGGCCTAGATAAGCAACGGTCAGAGAGATTCGAGAGAGTGCAAGGGAGATGACGCTTACGCTCTGTCACGCCCATTTGGTGATCGACTGCGGTTGCGGTCATCACGATCTCCCCGAGGCGAAGCAGATCGGTCGCGACGTTCATACCCGCGGTCATCTAGAAAAGGTCAGAAAGAACGCCTTATAGAAGTCGTCTGACAGATACAAGCATACCTTCATAGCGAGCAGCAGAATCCTCAAAGTCGGCCATGGTGTCAGACTGGGAAAAGGGATTGAGCAAAAGGGGGTTTGTTTGTAGTTAATGTAACTGCGGATCTCGTCTTGAGGGCTTCTGTTGCACTTTCAATAGGATCTGGGAAGCGAGAGTGCTCAGAAGTAGTCAAGATATGAGAGGAAGTGGGCGCGATGATGAAGGGAGCTGATGGTTGCAGCTGGGGAGTGGATTGTTTGTAAGGCTACGATGAAGAGTGAGGCGAAAGCAAAAAATCGCTAGAGGACACGCGCACTCATCGCCAAGGTAAAGTTGCCTAGTTGAGAAGCATGTCGGAGCAGGCAAATTTTTAATCCGCAAAAAAACCAAACTTCAGCCTTACGACCCAGCCTTCAGCCTTGCGACTCGCGGATTTTGGTGCGATTCAGGCAAAGTGGTGCCAGATAACTCAAATGCTACATGCATTGAACGATGACACTGGTGCATCGTCCACCAAAGGCAGACTCAATCTCACCCATGGCCATGCGCCACTCGGTAAGCTAATGGAGTGCCGTATAGTTGGAGGCTCTCGGATCCATCGCCGCCTTTCCTTGTTTAATGATACTACAAAGAAATTCATTTGATCATTACTGTGTTCTCTGAGGACTCAAGTTTAGAGGGTTAATATACCTGATTTACTAGTGAATACAATAGCGAAGGGATCGCCCGGAGAATGTGGCCCAGGGAATGGGAATAGCGTAAGCGAAGCCGAGGCATGCAGTCCAACAACAACCCTTCCTATATCATCTTCTGTTCCGGAAAGACCTCGCGCCCCAATCAGGGGCTTTGGTTCGTTTGCTTCTGAGGATCCTTTTCTTTGCCGTAGCTTCCTCATTCTTTGAGTCTGTGATCTCGCCATCAACCGGAGCATCAATAGTGTGTCTGACAATGTCATCGCCGGCACCCAGTCCCTGGAGCTCGTCTTCATCCATCTCACTGAGCTCTTCACTCATTTCGCGTAACACTTCTGGTCCTGTCCAGCGTTCTTCAAAGATGGTTGTGCCTTCTGGATCAAATTGAGCAACGTACCAAGGAATGCCGCCCTCGGATTGGAGACTTTGAGAGTGGCCTTCCAAACTCATGGGAGGTGTAGGTGGCTCCACTTGTTGTACTTGTTCCGCGGCCGCAATTCCGTTTGTATGGGACTCATGCCTAAATCCATTCGTGGACGCTGGCGGGGTATTTGCCGAGACCAGGTGAGATGCCATCTCGAGACTGTTATGCTTGAGCGAATCGTCTTGTGCGGCAGACCTTGCTGCGTTTTTGAGCGTTTTCTCAACACGACTGAATTCTTGCACAGTAGTTGTAACATCGACCATTTCAACACCGGCCTCTGCTGGACTAGCGATCCCAACCTCGTGTTTCAGTTCGACTGAATCAATGACCGGGGTTTCCGCAGACTGTGCCAACGAGCCTCGTCGGGAGAGGAGGGCTTCATCCATCTCCCTAATCTGCTCAGCGTATGGTCGCCCGTGCAGTTCAGCTTCTTTTCGAGTAGCATCTTCGATCATTGGTTCAATACCCTTGACAATTCGTCTTGCGAGCGTACGTCGGTCCCGGTCTTCAGGTTTCATGTCTTCAGCTCGGCCACTAACCAGGGAGATCAATTCTGAAATGCTTCCTGCGCTGTTGCCGAACTGCGAATTGATCACCTGCACCACATCATTGGAAAAGCTTGCTATCGAGGTATGCTCTTTCCTGAGGACCTTGCTTTTCAATTCGAGAAGACCAGGACGGAACAGACCTCTGTCAAGTCTAGAGTTTGTTAGCATCGAAGCTGGTGCGATGAGATAGTAGACTTACTTGAGTGCTTTCTCAATGATGGGCTCTAGGAGGTGTGCGACAGGGAAGTAGACGATGTCGACGACTTCCTTCAACAGACGGGCCTCTTCCAGCTTTGAGGCTTCGCGTTCTTTGATCAAATTGCATAGCTGCACGATCCGATCCATATCCTTTGCCAACCTCTCGGCAAACTCAATACGACGCTCCAGTCGCGCACGACCAGCCGCACCTTGAGCCTTGTAATCGCGTCGTGTCACCTCGAAAGAGCTGAATGTATCCATCTGTAACTGTAATCGCTTCAGAAGGGCAGCGCCTCTGCGAGCTTCGCGTTTCAGAGTCCAGTATTTACAAATTTCAGAAACATACTCCTTCTTCTTCTGCACAGTGAACCTTACCAGAGACTCCTCGATGGACTTAAGAATGACCTCAGGGATAACAGGAGCACCTGAAGGAAGCCGCCAGACCGTCTTCTGCTTTTGTCCCTTCTTGTTAGTCAGAGTCACTTTCAGATGGCCCTTGTCTGTGGCAGGCGGATCTTGGATATCATGAATCGCCAAGGCAGATGCACGACTGTCTGCCCAAATTTGCCCACGAAAATGTTCTTTGAAATACTTGACCGCCTCTTCATACGCTTTGTCAGTGTGGTGCTGGCGTTTCCAGTCACTGGGCGTGTGCTTGTGGCAATATGCCTTGAGCTGCGACGGTTCCATCAGGGTATTCTGTCCACCACCGGTCTTCATTTGCAAGAAAAGTCCAGCTTGGCGAGCACAAGTTAGATGAAATGGCTCGTAACAACGGCCGTCACTGCACTGAATGCTCGCCCCCATCTCCTGTTTGCAGATGTAGCAAGTGAGTTTCCAACGACTGGTGGGAACCTTCTCAACATCGGTAATAGGTTCCATCAACGATGGGTTGCCAATTGTGACTTCCGGGATCCAGAAGGCACAGAACAAATGTGCCCATTTTGAATTGTTGGTTTGCTTGAAAGCGCCGCCCTCATTGGGGCAGAAGATGCAGCTCGGTCGAGAGTTTCCCACAAGTTGGCATTTCCTGCACAACCACTGTCCTTCGGGGATATAGGGCACACCATAGCACTCTTGATGCACGGCGAGATCACAGCCGTCGCAGAACACTATCGCATTGGCATTCTCACAGTCTCCGTCGTCGCATATGGCGCATTTGCTGTCAGGCTCTTCTCCGGCAGGCTCACCATTCACTGCAGCAGCGGAACTCGACCGTGGCCGCTGAGTCTGTGGCGCCTTGGGATTGGGTTTCGGTATTCTCTTTTCTAAAGCATGCCATTCTTTTTCGATCTTGGTCATTGTAATCTCGAAAATGGCGGGCTTGATAATCTGAACGCCGTCTTTGGTCCTCCCTTTATTGAAAGCCTCGAGCCACTTGACATCTTGTTCATCCATATCATACTCGACTCGTCCGACGCCCGTACTGCCAATAGCAGAATTCTCTCCGTGCGTCATGAGGTCCGGACTGAGATCGAGGTCTTCTTCCGCCGATCCTTCCATCTGTCTTATCAGCGTCCGTTCTGGCCGCAGGAAGATCTCACTCTCCTGATACCCAACATTTGCCATTGACTTGTCCACGAAGTCAACTTGGGCAATATCCTTGTTTAATTCATAGGATAAGAATGGATCAAGTTCTCGATATGAGGGTTTGGGTAAGGTCAGTCGTTCTCGCGGATTTGGTCCTGGCATAGGCACGAATCTGGGGACTTCGGGAGTCAGAAGAGCATTGACCATCGAATTCTGGGTACGATGTGGCCTTCCAGGTCGTCGCTTCAAAGGTGTGGAAATTCCGAGAGCAGGACTTTCGCCCTCCGTCGGTGTCAGAGCGCCTTGGCTAGATCCATCAACTGTAGACTTTTTCACCAGTCCGTCTATTTCTTCCGAAGGTAACACAGCAAAGTCCGCATCCAGGTCGAGATCAGGATGGAACTCTTCCCACCCTCGTTCTTCTCGAGGCTTGTACCCATCTCCATGTGTCACGGCGGCGGAGGCCGCGGCTGCTGTACTGTATCGGGGTCGTGCGCCGCCTCTGTTTCTACTTCTGGCTGAGTATCGGGGTGTGGATATCATCGTCTTCTTGGGGTTGCGACTTTGTCTCGTGCGCGTACGCGGAAGCGCGTATTCTTCGTCTGCGTTAGGTGTCCTCGTGGTAGAAGGGGTGCTCTCGTGATCAACATGTCTACCGCCGCCTCCTCGACCTCCTGGTGTCCATTTAAGGGAGGGCTGGGCCCGGCGCGACGTGCGGATGCGTTTCGAGGGAGGCTCTGCGTCTTGGAAATCCGCGAGATCTTCCTCGTCCGAATTGTTGAAGTCCTTTGACACCTTCTTGACTTCTCTCCGCGGACGTGTTCTTGCCTGCACAGATCTCAGAGGCCCCATCCTGGGCGCACAGTGGACGGCAGTCGACGCGACTGGTTGTGATCAAGCCGCAACTAGGAGGCGCAGGCAGGCTTCGGGTCGTTTTCGCGTGTGTGAGTAGCCATTCAGTCTGATTACGACAGCGCTAGTGGAACGCGCAAGTAGTAGTATGTATAATGAGGTCGGCCTGGGGCAATGTATGATGTCCTGGAGGATGTCCCGTAGTCACAGTGTGTTGAGGTGCTTTTTGAGTGTCGTCGCTTCAAGATGGCGATCTCCCAGTCGATTCGGTTAAGCGCGACTCGCAGGCCCGACAGTTTGGATCCACAAAGGGCTTGGCATCGTATCTGCGGGATGCAATTGCCCTGCGCATCCAGAGTTCGCCATTTTCTTAAGAACACTGGCAGTTACGGTTCACTCATTTCGTTTTCTGCCGCTTCCCTGATGAATGCCATTGAAGAGTGAGTATGATGTCTTTCCAACCTGTCTACGTCTCCACTGTTCTGTTATCAGTCCGTCTGTGGTTGCATGCATGCTTACAAAGATGAACTGTAATATCAGGAACCGCCCTGGACGACGAGGAAACGATCCCCGAGGTGCGAACTCCCACCAGCAGCGACAGTCTACTTCCGCCTCTGCAGCATCTAGAGATGGTAGTTCTAGCACATATCAAAGCAGAAGAGGTGGAAAGGCAGGCTCAAACCTGAGCAGGTCCTCTGACAATATTCAAAACGGTTCCACGACAACCCTCCCACCACAAGATGATCATGTGCCCATCGCAGGTTTCAATTCCGACGTTGTCGAGGCAATGTTGAAGCAAGGTTACGAGGCTAAGGCGCCTCTTTACAAGTTGGACACAAAAGCGCAACCCGCAAACCCGCAGAGCCCATGGGGCGCCAAGCGTAAGGAGAGTCCCGCTCCTGAGAAGATAACTATTAACTCTTGGAAGCTGGAGCCATGTCTGGCGGAAAGGACTTTTGGCTTGACCTGCGCAGGCAGGTTTCTGCCTTGCAACAGACGGGCGGGATCAGTCAGGGCGGCTGAGACTAGAATGCTGTTGCGGTGGTCTCTGTCACGCACGGTTCAGCGGCATCACGGAGGCGTTTTTCTGGTGCATTCACGATACCCCAGGTGCTCGGTACATTCTGTCAGCATCACTTGAACTCCACATGTACATTTGCGGTAAAGCGATGTCCCGGTTATTGTGTTCAACTGCATGTATCATAGCTCTGGTTTACCATGAGCGGTTCTGCATTGTATGCATGTTGTATGTTGGATGCCGTTCAAAATCAAATGGTATTGTCTGGTGGGCTGGCATGTCCTTACGCTGTCCGATGGCGAATCTTCTCATGCGTTGCCCGCCTCATTCAAGAACTGTCGGGCCCAACTTCGCAGACACTGCTTGGCCTGCTGAGAAACTGTGATTGGTTAATTCGTAATATGAAGCACAAAGTTGGAAGGTCGGGTCAACAGAGGTCTAATGAAGTGAAAAGACGTGAAATTGTACCATGAGCCAGGTGTGTAATCAGGCAGCTGACGCTGGATCTATTACACTGGATCAGACATCGGCACGATTGGTTGATCGACGAGCTCTGCTACAAAACCCTTTCACCTCCAAGCCCTCTTGCGCGTGTCTCGTCTTAGCTTTTCGAGGCCTCGTGAGGAAGCTCTCGCAATGACCCCCAATCCAGATCCCTGAGTGTGTTTGCTAATACACTGCAATCCGTTGAAGAGTTTTAGCAGCGCCACTTGTCCTCTTGACTTCCTTCGATAGATTTTCACTTCCATGATCCCCGTCCTCGCCTTGCTAAGACTATGCCACCATGGTGCTTGCCGTGGCGCTCTCGTATTTCCAGTTTGGTTGGAGGACACCGACAGTCTTGTAGTATCTGCTCAGACGGTGGATTCTAGACTCGATCAAGATGAGTCGAAATTTGGAGTCCTTGTCCTTTCGGTTGCGCTCAAGGTGCTTGCGGACGGCGACAGCCTGTGGAAATAAATGATCCAGATTAGCCAAGTTCATGGCAGGACAAATGGTCCAGTCGGCGCTTGTGTTGAGGTATACACACCTTTTTGATCAAGAAGTAGAGGTCCTCGGGTATTTCTGGTGCCAGGCCTGTATAGTGTCACTCTGTCAGTCTCACAGGACCAATTTCAGAGGCAATGTTGAGGGTAATGTTCCCAAAGATGGGTAGTGATAATTTGAGCCGACGGCTTCTTTATTTTCTTCTTCGTTTCTCACACCGAGGTTAATCGAGGTGCGTGCATACCGTTCGACTTCAGGATTCTCAGAATCTTGTTACCTGCAAGCACAAAATCAGTCAATTGCAGCCGCGCAACCAGCCACGATAGGCCACCGGAGATGAATCTTGTAGAAAACTAACCAGTGACGACTTTGACTTGCGCGACACCATGGCTATCTCTCAGCACAACACCGATTTGCGACGGAGTCGCACCCTTCCGTGCGAGTTTGCAGATGTTGTCAACCACAGTCTCCGGGGTGGATTTGAACCAGGTGGGCACAGAGCGCGAGTAGGGGATCGCCGAGGCGCTGATGCCTTTGCCTTTGCTGTGAAGACGACCCATGTTGACTGTGTATTGAGAGCTGTCGCAGTGGAAGAGGGAACGACTTGGATCTGAAGAAAGTTGTACAGTGCAGGTTTGCAGATGCACTGGCTCCGAGTTGTGTGGTGGGCCCGCCAAGACCTGCGAAATCTTGGCGGCTATAAGTCAAGTTTGCTGAACTGGGTCTCCGAATCTCATATTATCTCCCATCATTGACTTGGAAAGTTTTCACAGGAGTTGTTACAGTATATTCGAGTACTGTGACTATCATCTGATGCAGTCCTTGACCCTCTGGAACCAATCATCGCGTGCCTCAACATGAACACCGAAGGCGACCCTACTCATTGGTGTCGCTGAGCAATCTCAAGGTACGTTGTAAAGTTGATTTCACACCGTCTCTACAAGCTTGCATGATGACAAACACTTTGAATTTCTATAATTTCTGGTACCTCTTATGTCAGAAGAGAAGCCCAGCAGGGTTCTCTTCGATGATCTAAATGGACTTCTGATTTCTCAAATCCTCTACACTGCCTACTGCATTTTCGCTCTTTGATCAAGAATGGGAACTAATATTATGCAAGCAGGGTTTGTCTAGGAATTCTCTGATGATCCAGCCTGCAAAAGGAAGGACGGGGCTTACCACAGGCGATGATGGTGTCACAATCTCCCGCTATTCGAGGTCGCAAGAGGTAGCCTTGCGCAGTCACCAGCACTCATGTTCGCCTCATTCCATGTTCATTTGAAACGTTGTTGTTTTTTCCACACGTAATACTAGATTCTTTCTCATGCCATACGTAAATAGCTGGAGGGTATCAGATTTTATATTCCAAAACCAAGATGACCATTCCTGCCGGACTCCAACCCAAGCATAAATGTGTAAACATCGATCGACACTATGCGACCTAGACCTCAAAGTTGCTTTTGATCACGATGTGCCTCCCATCTCAGTGTCGACATCGACGTTTCTGGCTCCTTCTCCCTCTCTCGCCTCTCCCTCGTCCTTGACTCCGTTGACAGCAGGCTCTTCTGTTACCGATGCGGCTTGCGGCGCAGCATCCTCTGCAGTTGGCTGGGGAGGTTGCTGCTGTTCTGCACTAGCGTCGATGGCTTCATTCATGGTAATCTCGGGTTGTATGCGGGGAGGCTCTTGTGACGGGATGGACGTGGGCTCTGGTTGCGCCGATGGTGATCGACGCGGAGATGCAGGTGCTGGCGCAGGTTCAGATTCAGGCGCTGGTGCGGGTTCAGATTCAGGCGCTGGTGCGGGTTCAGATTCAGGCGCTGGTGCGGGTTCAGGTACTGGCGCCGATGCTGGTGCTGGCGCGGCGGCCGACGTGTCTGCCGGCTCTTGTGGTTTGGGATCTTCGAACTTGTACAGAAATCGTTCGCGAATATTTGTCCTGTCCGTGTTCCCTTCGTATAGTATGGACTGGTGGATCAGGCATTCTCCCAGCCACTGGAGGGGGAACTCTGCTCTGTTGCGCAAACACGAATTAGCTACTGTACATGTCCAGCGCAGAGGTTGTCATCCATGCAGGGACATCGCAATGCACGTACTCAGCGTTCAAGCTCTCTGTGATGGCCTTCTTTAAGAACGGCGCGATTCGTGCGTTTAGGTAGTCCCTCAGCGGGACTTGTTGTCTGTTGCTGGCGGTGTTCACTACCACCGAGGGAGGATTAAGCGCCGCATTCGACATCCCGACCAGTTTTCCGTGCTCGACAGGAGGTGGTTAGAGAAAGTATCTCTAGAGATCTTGTCGCCAAACTGGACCACCCAAATCAACATCTGGGGTATTCAACCAATCATGGTGAGTAAATGCTGGAAAGATGGAATGGCCCTCAATGACCACGTCACGTGCAGGCACATCAATTGCATTCTCTTTTTCGTTCTCAGTTTCGTTTTGCAACCTCTCTTACGGAATTGCGCAACAATAACAAAGAGGTCTAACAAGATACCAATATGTGGCGGTAGAGGTGTTGTGTGCCGTCTCGACTACCAGGGAAATGCGCTAGGGAACAAGGTAGAGGTGTAGTTGCGATCACAACCACCCTTATCCATTGATCCAAGTTCCGTCTCGCGGTTCAGAGACAAGAACATTATTTGCCGCACCCCGATCGACAAATCAATACCACCCAGGCCACAACTCAATTGCAATACCAACTTAACATAACGTGGAAATCTATGACTAGGTGCATCAGCTCTTCGATGCGAAGGGGCCGAGATAGCAATCTCGACACACTCAGTCGAGATACTTGCCAGCTCGGAGGCCTATCTCAAAACAATGAGGCAAGTCTCAAAATAAGAAATGGGATTGTGTAATGCAACTAAGGTGGCTATAAAGGATGAGGCAACAGCTTCGACAAACGAACTCAACCGGACACAGGGCGATGGGATCCTGCCAATACCAGACGTTCAAGAAGTAGTCAAGAAATAGTCATCTTCAAGGGAGGGCGGTCACTGTCGGCCTGACAGTCAGTGAAGGCTTTCTGTGGGAGTGTGTCCAGGGACAGGAGACAATCCATCTTCGAAACTCTTGATAGATATGCCAATGTCGTCTCTGACCAGCCAATAACATGACGAAGAGGACAGATGAAACCAGTCACTCGACATGCACCATCAGCCACGTGCGACGACCTTCTTGTCTGGACTCCCGGGTGCACTGCGCGCAATCATGCATGGCCCAAATCAGTGATCTCACAGAGTCAAGCTGCGTCCCACCAAATTCCCACGAGCAAATCCTTGGAAGGGATCCTCTAGACGGCGGCGCGCCCAAAAGTAAAGCCGACGATCCTCCCTTGTCGATGAGGAGCCATTGAGGTCTCTTGCAAGTCTTCGGACCCAGAACCTGAGGCCTTCATTACCTTTGACGGCTAAGGAGACCCACAAAACATTGATTGTATCGGCGACATAGGACGATAGATTCAGATGGGGCAGAACTTGCCTTTAGCTGTAGGTGCCTCGAAATGGGCGATGAATTTCCTCTTTCTCTTAGATCGAGCCAGGTCCAGAGGTAGCATCACTGCCACGTGTAAAGGTAAGACTGGAAGGCAGGCGAAGCGACGACTAATTACCCGCGATCTGCTGCTCGGTAGGGCCATTCTTCATCGAGTTGAAGAGCCGGATACATGCCGTGAGCGGGACAATGGACAGCACCTGACGAAGAATTGATGCAGCGAGAACTAAGATGACGAGATTAGCGCAATGATGAGTGCATGTAACTGCTCACTAAAAGTGAGGCGAATATTTGTTTAGCTTCCCGAGGTCAGAGAAGGAGAGCTCTCGTACGGCGCAACGTGGCTCTGCACATCTGCCCAACTTCCGTCATTGTTGCGTTGGCGTGTTTTGGCAGATCCGATCCGATACTCGCAACAAGTAGCGGTCAGAAAGACAGCGGCGCCGCCTATATAAGAGTAACCCGTCGCGCAGAGGATTTGGGCGAAGGTGGAAGTCAGCGGAGAAGTGATATAGCGAGGACGGAAAGGTCATCGTGACTCCGGCGCCCATGGAGTTGAGCTATGGGTGTGTTTCGGAGAAGTCCTTCTCTTTTCAAACGTTCGCTTCGCAATTTCAGGCCAGGATTGCCTTCCTTCGACATCAACTGCGTTCCGCCCCATGGGTGAGTTGGGTTGATTCGGAGCCAGTCGCGATAGGCAAGGCTGCGATGTCGCAAAGGATCCATTTATTCGCCGTGCCATTGTTGGACGCCCGGCCACGAGGCAGTTGTGATTGAGATTTAAGATGCTGAGGATGGTTGGTCGGATGGGTGAGGATGGCGAAGCGTCACCCCCGGGACTTTCGAAGCTTAGGCGTCATATGGCACCTGATTCGGCGGTTCGTTGAGCCCCCAACACCGCTTTGGGCCTCCCTATTCGACCTCGGGCGCCCACGACGGCAAGTTCGCTGATTTGCGGACTGCCCGGAAGCCGCATCCACTCTCGTCTATCAAAAAGTCCCAAAGCCCGCTGATCGAACCACGCTATGGCTTCCTCAGGAGCAAGTATCGAGGGATGCGCGCCATTTTGATTCTGCCAATACCTCCTGCAACCTTTGAGATTGTCGGGCGGGAAAAAAGGACATCAATTTTCGGCATGCTGCAGGGGCGCGGAGACTGCGCTGCAGCTTGCCGAAGACTGCGAACTCCCAGTTGAGAACTGATGGGGGGCATTTAATCTTGTCAAGCAGCAACCCAAACACACCCAAGACATGGCTGGGCTAACCTGAACAGCACTGGATTGCTGCACGAGAGACAGGATTCTCCCACTTGTTCCCACCCCTACTGATTGTTACCTGCATCTCGTCCCTACCCTTTTACGCCTGCATCCACCTGGGCCGCTCGACGGAGCCTAGCCTGCTGCATAGCTTGTCAAGAGTTTGCAGCTTTAGCAGAAGAATGGGCAAGGACCCAGACCTCATCAGGCGCAGTCTGAGCGAACAAAGGCAAGGCGGGCTCCGCGACTCATGGCGCCAGCCAGCAACAGCACCACTTGACCAACCCGGGCTGACCAGCATCCAGCATCTAGCATCTGTCGAAAACTGAATTACCACCGAACCTCCCTTACGCCGTACGGGAACCTTCCCTCAGACATGCTACTCCGTACTCTAATTCCCTTGCTCTCACGCGCAGATGGCCACCTCCCGGCCACTCACAACGCGCCGTTGCATGTCTTGCAGCTGCGGCCAACATTGGTCGACCCGCGGCTCCTGATCATCTGCCACTGACAATCGCTAGACTACTCAAAGCCCAAGTTGCTCTTCCCAAAATAATGGCTAACTTGGAATGATGCCCCTTCTGCGCCTGGCTCACTGGCCTCGAGGCAGAGGGACCACCAGACCACCAAGGCCTTCTGTCCCAGCGTCCTGGAATTTTTGTTCTGCCTTATTGCTTGAATGGGTGACCAATCTACAACTCTTAAAAGGTCTCTTACAACCTCCGGGCCAAAGTCACCCACTGACTTTGTCCTTTCCGCTCTCTGTACACCCTCAGTCGGGGTCCAGCGCAATTCTGCTCTAACACTCGGGATTTGGATGAACAGTGCGCGCTGCGGAACCAATCCTCCCTATATGCCGGTCACTATTGCGCCGCTTGATGACAGTCACATGCATCCCGTCCCTTGCAAAACTCAGCTTGCGCTCCGCCCTCACCCTTCCCAATGTCCAATTTGTTCAACCAACCATGGACAATTTCGGAGCAAATCGTCTTGTTGACCAACATTATTCAGAGTGCTGGGCAGGATGTACCGTCATTTTTGGTGCGCGCCATCGAAAATGGCAATATACAACCCAGATGGGACGATGTTGCACTGCCAGCAGGTATGTAGACCTCAAGAAGGAAGAGAAATGCTGCCTGCCGCGAACTCGACAAGATGGTCGCCGGGAAACCCCCTTTCAAACTGGCATTCACTGTCCCCCCTGCCTGGTCGCGAAATCCATAGTCATGCGCTGACCCTCGTGTAGGCCGCACTCCTAACGCATGCCACCAAATGTACAATTTCTTGCGTAGTCAATACCGCCCCTTCCCAACGACGGGAGTGCCAGGCTTCCCTCAGCAACAACTTGCGCCGCATCCTCCGGAGGTGAGGGCAGTGTCGGAACCAGATTTGGCCCCGTCAACACAACGACCCATTCAGCCTCGTCCTCCTCGTTCGACAGACTCGCCTATTCCTCCGACAACAAATGGGGAACCGTTCCGGATCTTGCGCACCTTCATTCAACCTGAGCCGCCGGGGGAAAAGCGCAGGAAACGAGGTCGTCCGACGAAAGAAGAAGTGGAAGAACGCGATCGCAAGCTTGCAGAGGCTGGGCAGACTTACGAGCCGAAGAGGAGGCCAGCAAAGAAATCGAGACCGTCTGAAACGCCCAGCTCGCTTTCCGAAGCTGTTGCCACAACATCACCCTTTATGCAGACTCCGCGCTTGCAGCAGCTTACACCTAGGGAAGAAACATCGAGCGGAAAAAGACGGTCAAAACGCCAGCGTGACGAGGGAGAGTCAACGCGTCCGGCTCTTTCTAGGTCTCCTGGAGACGATTCGGGTGACGGAAGGAGTACAGACGCGGCCCAGAGCCCTTCTGATCGACTTCTTGCGAGACCAGAACGTGCTCAACCAACTACCTCCGTTGCTCGAGATGTACAGCAGATATCGAGCCCACATCTTGAGCCACAACCAGGTACGCAGCAGGACAATCAACCCTCGGGCCCTCAGTCTGCCTAATTGTCGCATACGATGAAGCTATACCGACACATAGCCATTGATACACGCCCATGTCTTCCTACTTTTTCCCATATCCATCTTCGAACCCTATGTACGACGAACACCCAGACATTTTCACACCATGAGCTACGACTATAGAAAGCGGCAGATACATGTGTACATGATACCCATGCGCAGTACGAACGGACAGGAGTGGCTTAATTCTCTGTGTGTGCGATTTCGAATCCGACCTGTTTTCCTCATCCGGACGCCTGGTTGCCAAAATTCTTTTCTATTCATTCTTATGTATTTATATAATCGGGGAGCGCAACAAAGATCTGCTGGCCAGACTGAGTATATTTGATACGCGAGAAAAGGCAGGGAGCAAGAGTAGGACGAATACTCAATGATGGACGCGCCGTGCAGGCATCAAGAAAACATAATTGATAATAACAACGTTTTGATACACCTGGCGCACCAGGCAGGGCATGTTGAGCAAGACCACGAAAGGATCACGACTGTGGGAGTTTGTCAATTTCTCATTTGTGGAGCACCATAGAGGGCATGTTGGGGGTCGTTGTCCCGTTGACTTTTATATGTTATATCCTGACTGGGGTTCTTGGAGTCTGCCGTCACCGGGACCTCGAATTCACATACAGGACATTTGTATCGTCTTTGGATGGAGAGGGTAGCTAAGCAGACGAAGTGATCGTTTCGATGAGGACAAGGAGCAAATCTCTTTGCTGCGAGTCCCCTACCCGTCTTCGAAGCTCAGTACCTACGAGGTATTCTTCTTCTACCAGCATTTAGGTCCTCGACCAGGGGTAGTCGAGGGGAGGGCCCTAGATCTCTTTGCCCAATTTAAACAAATCCTCCGTAGCGACGCCTGTTTCAGCAACCGAGGATTGCGCACTCTCTGGCCTTTGATGGTGCCGGTCCACTTTTCTCCCTGAAACTTGCATGTCAGACATGCGGCGTGACTTTTCTAGAAGAAACGGTGCGCGCTACGCCTGGGACCGGGGTCTTTTAGGAGGAAGAAGGAGGGGACCTCGTTTGATTAATTTACTTACTTACCTGGTAGTTGGTATCTAGTAGTCAACAAGAGGAAAAATAAGAAGAAAAAAAGTGGGGACAGGCGGGAGACGAGAATGAGAAGCTCAAAAGGTGAGAGATGAAAGAAGAAAGAAGAGAGGGAAAGAGGAAGGTGGTGGAGGGAGAGTCTCATGATTTGGACTCATGTTTGATGGCTGGGTCAATGTGCACCTCTTCAATGAACATGACCCTCGAGTACATACACATACATACACATACATATACAGGCGCGGTGCGAAAGGTGAGTTAGTCGGTGCTTACTGGGGATGTATGTCTGTACTCGTACTAGCGAGAGAAAGGGAGGGAGAAAGCGATTTCATCCAAGTCCCCTACCAGGTAGTTACTCGTGTAAGCGGACTCTGGGTAGTGTATCCAGGATGGCTGGCTGGCTTTCGTCGCGGTGTTCTGTCTGGGTCGGATTCGGGGTCAGGCTCCATGGGGGATCTCTACGGGAGGGTTTTACAATGTCTTCAAGGTAGAGACCTGGGTAGGTAGGTAGGTAGGTATACATGCACATACATCGAGCATACGTCTCGTTCGACGTAGAGATCAACCAACCCGGAGAGCCTCAATCGTCAACGCCCACTAACGACGAAGAACCAGCGAAAGGGGGAAAATGGGGAGGAAAAGAGCAAGGGACAAAAGAAAGAGAAGGGCAAGAACCCGGTATCCTTATTCGTCTCTTATCCATGGTAGTAGGAGATGTGGAAGATGGAAAGAGAACAAGGAGAGGATCGCCGATGCATTGAGAGCGACAGTGCTTGGAAAAGAAAAGAGAAAGTCACAAAAGAGGAAAGAATCAAGAACCCTCTCCATAGAACTATTAATGGTCGAAAGGGAAAGATGAAGGGTGGTGGTGGTGGTGGTGGTGGTGATGGAAGAGAACAGAAAAGACCAACAAACACAGACAGTACTCGAGATGGGATAAAGGCAGAGCAGCGTCGAAGTTCTACTCGTAGTGATACAGTACCGCAGTAGAAGACGGACAGACAACAGGTAGGTAGGTGTATTGTCATCCCTCAGTTACATCTCATGAGGCGCAGAGTATATGCACATACCCACCACTAATGAGCCCATCTACATCTGAGGACATGGAATGAGGAAAAATTGAAAAAAGACAGTCGGTTGTAGAAACGACACAAATAAAAGTATATCTAGATCAAGATCCAGACATGTAGCTTTTCATGCCCAATAATATATAAATCGTTCAGTGCCTGTTCATCTGGCAGTTGTCCCAGTATATTCCCTCCCTCAGGGGCGTCCGCTACCAGCGTTATGGGCGTCGAGCTGCCTCACCAGCATGCAGTGTATAAGGACAACAAATGCAAACCCATTGCACGGTCATGCTCAGGTTCAATCATCGTATAGCCCTTCGTCGTCCCCCTCAACACCATCCACAAATCCATCTGTCAATGCTTCTGGAGCCAACTCCCTCATTTTGCCTTTGCCCTTGTTTTCGACAGATGTCCCTGTTCCATTCATCGTCGCACTTCCGTTCATATGGGTCGGTCTCATGCTGAACCCAAAGTCAGAATTGTCTGCGTCGGACGAGTTGCCAGAGTCGGGATTGCCGATCCGTGGTACAGTCTTGTTAGATTGTAAGAGATGGGTCGGAGAAATCAGCGGTGGCGTGTGATTCGAGTTCAACGTGTTGACCTCCTTCTGTTTGCCCTTGCCCTTGTCCTTGAGCTGCAGCGGAGGGGCTCGAGTTTGGTCCTTTGCAAGAGGTTCCGGTCTTGCTTGAGGAGTCGGCTGTGGCGCTGGTGGGGAACGTAGAGGCAAAGTCGAAGGATCACGGCCCTTCTCGCCGTTGGTGGACGGTGTCACAGTGATGTCTTGTTCCTCGAACAGCTTGCGGATCCTCTCAAAATGTTCCAGTTCTTTCTTGCTCACACTACCCACCAACTCGTTCTGAGCTGCCATGAAATCTTCTTCGCCTACAACGACCTGTACATCCTCCTCAGTGGCCAAATGATCGAAGAAGTACCCGGTGCTGATGTCTTCACCACGGGCCTTACTGATCTGTTGCACCTTCTCGTCCACGGATCGCGTCTTCCGCGTAATCGCCTTGAGCATGGCATCACTGCACAATGCATAGAGGTCCGCACCGGTATAGGTGAAAGGCAACCGGCGTGCGACGCTCAAGAGGTCGACATCTGGAGCCAGGGTAAAGTTTCTTGTTAGCGCTTTCAATATCGTAACCTGCTGGTCGTGCGAGTCGGCCACACCGAGATATAGCATCTTGTCGAACCGGCCCGGTCGGAGAAGTGCTGGGTCGAGAAGGTCTGGTCTGTTCGTTGCGCCGATAACAAAGACACCGCCGCCGTTTGACGTTGATTTAGAGTCCCCGTCTTCATCCCCTCCGCCGCCACTTGACATTCCATCGAGCTCGGCAAGGAGCTGGGATACAATCCGATCCATAACACCACCGCTGTCACCTTGGTTTCCACGTTTTGGTGCCACCGAATCCAGCTCATCGAAAAAGACCACACACGGACGAGCATCCCTAGCACGTTGGAAAACCCGGCGGACATTAGCTTCCGATTCACCAATATACATATTCAGCAACTCAGGGCCTTTGACGCTGAAGAAGTTGAGACTGAACTCGGTAGCAATTGCCTTTGCCAGCAAAGTCTTCCCGGTTCCTGGAGGTCCGTAAAACAAGATACCTGACCGCTTTCGGATGCCATTGGCAAATAGTTCGGGATGGGTGAGAGGCAAAGAAATTGTTTCCATAATGGCGTCCTTCTGCGACGAGAGCCCTCCGACATCTTGCCACGTGACGGTTGGGATCTTGGGAGCTCCGATGGCATCCGAGAAACTCGATCGTGCAGCGGCAATGGCGCGAGTGAAGTCACTAGGGAGTAGATGCGTGGCTGTTTGGCCTCCAGAGATGGAAATGTCGGAAATATCACAGCTTTGGGACTCTGCCAGTGACAACAGACGAGTCGACCGTGCAAGCAAAGCTCGATTCACGACATCGAGCAGGTCACCAGCCACCAACGCCGCGGTCTGAAGAGCAATTGATTTCAGATTGACAGTGGGCGACAGCGGTGTTGAGAGAGAAACGCACGCGTTGCGAAGGATGAGTTCTCTGGCTTTTTCATCTGGTGCTGTTACCTCCAGTTCATGAGAGAATAGACTGCGGATTCCGGCAGGAATGTCATCGATTTTGGAGGTGGTCGCGATTAGCACACGAGACTCTGAAATGATCTCCTGTAACACAGGCACCATTCTATCCGCAGTCAGAGCATCAATGTGCTGGATGAGCAAGGCTGTCTGTTGAGCACCCCCTGTGAGTGCCCGTTCAGCTCTGGTACGTAGCAATGCTTCGGTCTTGGTATCACCACCTCCTGTGGTAGAGGCATTCTCAGACAACAGATCGTGTGCGGAAATGGGAAAGACGTGTACGCCGATAGCTGAGCACGCAGATTCCGCAATGTACGATTTGCCGATTTGTCGTTGGGTAGAGTATAACAATATGACAAGGGGTGGAAGCCCCAGACTGATAGCACGGTTGCTGACCGCAGCGGAGATCAACCCAGACAAACGTGTCTCTAATGGAAGTTTGTCCAGGGACGGTATATCTGTTGCCGTAGGAACGTGGTCGACTCGGTGTACGTTCTGCTGTGGCAGTTTACTGATGCCAATCCAGTAACGGGTCCAGATCTCTGTGAGGTGTGAGACTGATTGGATGGTTGTGCCACTTTGGGAGGCCCTTGTTTGTAGACTGTCAAGGGTCACAGCTCCGCCCCATATGCCTTGCTCCTCTTCGGTTTGAGTGCCCGCCTGTTCAGTGTGGATTTGTTGCACAGAAAACCATGCAATGGCAAATCGCGAGTTGCCCACGGTCTCGGGAGTGTTGAGTCGTTTGATGGTCTCATCTTCACTCGGCGTCTCATCTGAACCTGCTTGAGACGTGAGAGCCTTCGCCAACTCCTGGTCTATCGGCACCGCAATGAGATCACCTTTCTTTAGAACGCGCTTTTTGCTTTGGAGGTGATATTGCAGGGATGAGAATAAAGTGGGCTGGAAAGCGGGATTCGTCGTCGTCGGGTCGGCGATCTTCGACAGAACGACCTCCTTCGCAATTGGCGGGGATTTGAACGTACTGGACCGTGGTGGATGGATTGATTTGAGATCGTGCCGGGGAGGTGTAGGCAAAGCTCCGAGCTTGACGTACTGTGCATTCGCGAGATTGGCCAAAAGGACGGGAGAAAGATAGACCACTGGTGAGAACGGCAACAGGAGGTCCCTCTGCGAAAAGCTCGACCTCCGATCACCGGTCTTGTCAACAGCGTAACGTGGCTGCAAATTTGCCAGCCCCGAAAGACCAAACACCTTGACCGTTCGCCAGTCAGACTCTTCTTCTACAAATCCACCGAGACCTCGAAGGGCCGAGTGCGGGAACCCTTGAGCGCTCACATTTCTGGCGACCTCTATTCGAACCCAATCGCCGGAAAAACACCCAATTTTGGCAAGCGTGCTGGTGTCAATAAAGACAAATGACTCCTCATCATCCTCGAGACTGGGCTGAGGGTGCATCAGCTCTATCGGAACTTTGCGAAGGAGGGCCTCGGTGCGGAACACCTTGCCCGGGCGGCTGCCACCCCTTGCCGTCACAGACGTGAAGCTCGAGTAGAGGGAGCCGGGGGTATGCGTGCCTGTAGCTCTTTTCCCACCAGGTCTTGGAGTTGCTGCAGTCATGGCCGATAACGTTCCAGCCTGTTGTGGTGGCAGCCCAGGTGCGCTAAGCGAAATCATATCGTCCATCGAGTCGGAATCTTCGTCGCTTTCCTCATGGGCTGAGTCAGTACCCGATTCTTCGTCAGACAAGTCATCGTCGTCGTCTGATCCTGTTTCCGTCTGTCTATCCTCGGCCGCCGAATAAAACTGATCATTCGAGGTGTCCTCGGCGGTATCTTCCAGCGACTCTTCGATTATCGGTTGAACGGGTGCCAATTTCGAAAGAGCCTTCTCTTGTGACGAACCTGTCTGAATCAGAACGATCTTGGTCTTTGCAGAGATCTTTCCTTGAGACACCGGCTCACATTCGACCACAATGGCGGGAGGTGGTCGAACATGAGTGATGGGATGGGCCGGCAGTGGTAGAGGAAAGACATCTCCAGAATGAACCACAGGTAATTGAGAAAGCGCATCTCGGACAAGCGATGCTAGTCGACCGGTAATTGGAGGCACATTCTGCAACACACCATTGGGCGTCGAGGACTTCCTGTCAACCTTCACATGCCTTCCATATTGAAAACCTCCACCAAACTTGGCCTGGATGTCATCGATTTTCTCAAGCATGCCCTTCTCAACGGAAACATAGATGGTTTCTAGTGTAAGAGGTCTCGTGGTGATTGTCCGAATCTCGATTGACTTGGGAACATGCCCCGGATGTCGATCTCGGTCGATTGTCGCGTAGGTCTTGAGGATCGATTGACACGCAGAGGAGTTTGGGGAAAGCTTGATGATGTCGGCCTGTTCCAAGCCGTCTGTCGAAGATTGTGGCTCGCGGAGTTTTACTGGGAGAATAGTCCATGTAGAATCTTGCAGCTCGGTATGGAGAGGGGACGAAGGAGTGAGGGCAATGAACAGGTTGTTCGTCGAGTTATGTGCATCTATAGATCCTCGTCAGCATGCTCCTTCGTATCAGCTTGGGAGGACTCGAAGTGAGTCCGTCATACCATTAGTACCGCCCGTCAATTTCGACCAAAGTCCCTGGGATATCAGGGCAGCATGGGTCTTGACTGTGTCGTCAAATGCCAGTCGAACGCTTAGCGGTTTCCGTTCAACTTCACGCCGCCGGCGTTTCTTAGGATGCTCGAATTCATGTTCGAGACTGTCCATGTCCACTCAATCAACAACAGGGGAAGATTGAATGTCCATGCGCAACAGAGGGGTCTTGAGGGGATGGTCCGATTCTCTTCCTCAAAGTATGAACATGGCAGCTGTAAGAGTGGGCAGAGTTTGAGGGTCAAATAAATTGACTTGGAGAGCCGTGACTGGGGCGCCGGCAATGATCATCAGCCACTGGCCACTGAATTGCATGCCGAGGTTCAAAGACTGAGATTCCGAATCTAGAAAATTAGGAGCAGTTTGTCGGGTTTGCCTCTCTTCACACCTCACGTCTCTCCTTGACCCTACGGCCGATTCACTTCCCTCGTAGCAGTTTGAAAATGAGGACAAGATGTTGTCTCTACGAGGCGACCGCTTCGAAGCCCAGCTAGTCCACCCTCCTGCGCCTTTTCTCCGGACGGCAGTTGGCTGACCCGGGAACTTGCACAAGGACTGACCAACGGGCATGGACATACCCTCGTCTCTAAGCCGCTTCCATCAGGCATCTGCGCCTCCAGACCTGTAACCTCTTTGCGGAGGTGGCGCTCCCCCAACCTATGACTTGTGTGCGTTTGGACCTCCGCCAAAACTGTCGGCAGCCTCTATTGGACCCTCCACAACTATGTAGACAAGGGCATCGGCTCCTCCGGGACTGGCACTCTGCTGAGGAAACGTCTATTACAACAAGAGAAGAAAAAAGCGCTAATAGTTTGAGAGCAACAGGCTCGGTGCACGGGATATTCGCCGGTCTACCACTAATCAAATACCCATGGTCATAACCACCCACCAAGTAACATCAACTCGTCTTCAACCTGCTGCCGCCGAGCTACCTGTCTTGGACTCCTTTTCTCGCTCACCAAGGAAAAGGAATGAATTACATCCTTCTCGCGAAAGGTACATACTTTAAGACCAGCCCTGTCTCAGTGATGTTTGGGATTCGCGTTGATTCCGAAGATGGAATCCACCAACTCGCCACTTCGAGTGGATAGAATTGACAACAGAGAATCAGACAAACCGTGCGTGGCCTCATTGCATCCTTGCAGCCAAATATTCATGCCATCCTGCACAGATGCGCGATTCAACTTCAAAGCGTAGTTACGTCCTGGTTGCCAGTGCCCATCCGATCTCGAATTGATATCCTGACAAGCTCTAAGCATATCGACATGCGCATCACGCTGATAGCCAGTGGCCAACACGACGGCATCGACCGACAGCTTCTCTTCACCGTTTACGTTCAACGGGTTGAGGTCGGACAGGACCAGCTCGACCCGTTTGTTAGGTCCATCAGTCACCACTGCCGAGATTTCCCTCAATGGCAAAATCTGATGCTGCCACAGACGTTTGTCTGGTTGCTTGATTCCCTGGAGATAAAGATCGTCGTAAAGCTTCTCAATCAGTTCGAGCCGCACAACACTGTAATTGGTGGCCTTGTTCCTCTTCACATTCTCAGCCCGTATATCTTCTGGTTGGTCGAAGAAAGTATCGACTGCTTCTGGATTGAAGACTTCATTGACAAATGGTGAGTCATCACTTGGCCGGAGCGCAGAGTCTCGAATGATGAGCCTGGTTGTGGCGTTGGGATAGCGGTGATGGAGATCATTGAAGACCTCGGCAGCACTTTGGCCGCCACCCACGACAGCAATGCTGTAATTCTGGTCCCTGTCTGGCAACACCCGGCTGATTCTCGTGTTGTATTCAGATGAGTGCAGAATACGATCATGGTAGGGTGGAAATAGCGCCGGCCTCGCAGGTCGCCCGCCCACCGCTATCACGACGTTTCGGCCTAGGAAGCTCATAGTCCTGCCGGTGGCGAGGTTCCGTGACACTACCTCGAAGCAGTCGTATTTGTCTGTCCCAGACAGTCTGCGTGGGAGGATCGATTCCACCTCTTGACTATATTCGACCACGTGCTCGAAGTGGCGTGCTGCCCACTGCAGATAGTCGTCAAACTCCAGCCGAGACGGCAAGAAGGTGCCCAAGTTGGAGAACTGCACCAGTCGATCGTGTTCCTTGAGATAGTTCAAAAAAGTGAACTGGCTTGTGGGGTTTCGCAGGGTGGCAAGATCTTTGATGAATGAAATTTGCATCTTTGCGCCGGGAAGCAGCATTCCCGCATGCCATTTGAACGTCTGCTGTCTTTCCAAGAAGCGGACGGTGGGAGTGGCGACCTCAGGGTTGGCTGCTTTTTGAGCGCGCAGCGAATCATGGAGCGCGACCGCAATGGCGAGAGAGGCTGGCCCAAAGCCCACGCATACAAGGTCGTTGACCTCTCCTGGAGCAGCAGAATAGAAGCCAGGGGCAGTGAGGTCTGTGCGCTGCCCGTTGCTCAAAGACTCAGAAGTCCAGCCATTGACGCTGTTCGTGGGGCTCGCCGGGTCTGAGTGATGGTCGTGTCCATTGGTACTGGACCAAATCCCCGGCGCCATGAGAAAGGAGGTCGAGTACAACTAGCAATACAATGTAAGGTGAGGTACCTGGGGGGAGATCAAGTTCCAGACAATGACAGAAAGAAAAGCAGATCGGGTTGTGCGACAGCTTTCTCGAGAGAGGAAAGCAATGGCATTTGAAGCTAGGAATAGATGCTAGATCATAGATCAATCAAGTACTCGGTGTGTATAATTGAGTAACGACTAGGGGAAGAGGGGCTCACCAGGCTCTCTGTATTTGTGCAGGTGGCAAGGTTGAAGCCATCAAGACATCGACGCGGAATCGTCCGGTAATAATGAATTACCCTGCGGTGACTAGCAGCTGGTGGCAGCTGTTGTCCCTCCACTGTGTCTAGTCAATGACCCGATCATCCACCCAGCAGCCACTGGTCGATGCGATGAGATGGAGATGGTATTGGAGGATCGTGGTGGGCAATGAAACACACATGCATCCAAACATCCTTGTCCATGAATACGTCACGCCATCTCTTCCCCCTGTTGCCCTGGCCCCAAGTGCATCAGATCCGATTGCGGAGGAAAAATTTTATCTGATAATCGGGGAGATTATCTGATAATCTTTTGTCACGGCATGATGTCGGAGTCTGGCCTGGACCACTTAGTTTGGATTGTCGCAGGTGGAGGGACCGTGAGGGACCGTTAGGGCCCAGGCGATGTGGACAAAAGCCCCGCTGTTTCTCTCATAGCGACCGTGGCATACATCAGACGAGGCTTTGAGCATGAAACTAATTTTTTTTTCTTTCTCCTGTGACTTTAAGCGGACCAGGTTGGTCGAGTGGACCGAGTATTCGATTGACAGTGATGCATGAAGAGCCGCTTGGCTGTGCCCGCATTGACGTTGACAAGAGGATGGTAGAGGTGCAGCTTTGCCTGCGATGAGCATGAGGGGCTCCGTTGTCGAGATCACCTTCCACTTCCATCACGTTCTCGGCGGTTAGCTTTGAGCAGCCACGCAGTCAATGCTACCTCGTCCACCATCAAAAGATCCTTGATCCAGAGCTCACCAGAGCGGACCAGGGTAGGCCAAGAGACACAGACATCGGAGCAACAGCTCTACATGACGTTGCCGATCAAACGCCCTCACTCCCTCGTCTAGTGGTGTGTCATTGAATACTGTAACAAGTGTTGCACCCACGCATCTCACACACTCACACACGCAAACGCACACGCAAAAGCTCTGTCTCTCTTTTCTCTCGCTCGTTTATACTAATCTCTCTCAAAGCTCTTCATCACCGTCGCCAATGACCAATATGCCGTCGCTCGTCAATGGCTACCATCCTCCTCACGAGCTCTCAATTGTCAACGAACATCGTCAATTACTACCTGGGCCACAGTTACTGCACGAGCTGATAGCGACATCCTCTGATAATCTCATTCTAGACTTTCTACTGGCGGACAATGGACGTGTTACTCTTACCTACGACGAGTTCCATCGCCTCACGGACCTCCTGTCTCAGGATATCCAAGAGTATATCTCGCCCAAAGGGGATAGAAGAAGCATAATTCCTGTCATCATCCCTCAGTCTCCAGAATTATACGTGGCATTGGTGGCAGTATTGAAGTCTGGCTCTGCCTTCTGCCCTGTCAGCCAAGATGTACCTCCGGAGAGACTGAAATTTATTCTCCAAGATACGCAGTCAACCTTCGTGCTGGCGACCACCACCACAAGGGCTGCTTTTGAGGATGCACTGTCAACCGTCCAATGCAAGACTGTATCTTTGGAAGCACTCGAACGGACATCGCGTTCGGCGCAGGCGGAGGATGCCCGTCCTCAAAGCCACGAGTGCATCACACCCTCCAGTCCAGCGTATGTCATGTACACTTCGGGCTCTACAGGACTTCCCAAGGGTGTTGTAGTATCGCATTTGTCAGTGTCACAGTCATTGCTTGCGCATGACGAGCATATCCCTCTCTTTAAACGCTTTTTACAATTTGCTTCACCAACGTTCGACGTCTCTATATTTGAGATATTCTTTCCATTTTTCCGGGGAGCGACACTAGTGGGTTGCGACCGTGAGCGAATGCTTACTGATTTACCTGCCACTATCCAAGTCTTGGATGCGGACGCTGCGGAACTCACCCCCACCGTCGCGGGGACGTTATTGAGAACCAGAAAGGCTGCCCCTTGCTTAAAGACGCTACTGACAATTGGAGAAATGCTTACAGCTCAAGTCGTTTCCGAATTCGGAGGAAGCACAGATAAGGCGAGCATGCTGTATGCTATGTATGGTCCTACGGAGGCGGCGATCCATTGCACTGTGGCACCCCAGCTAGCGGCTGATGCATCGGTACGCAGGATTGGGAGGCCGCTGTCCACGGTCACAGCTTTTATCCTCAAGGAAGGCGAAGCGCTTGAAATCGTACCGGTTGGCGAGCCCGGGGAGCTGGCGGTTGCAGGTCAGCTTGCTGATGGATACCTGAATCGGCCGGAGCAGAACCAAGCTGCGTTTGTTGAACTTGATGGCTACGGGCCAATCTACAAAACCGGAGATCGAGCAATTTGCCGTCCTGATGGGGAGCTTGAGATCCTAGGACGCATGACCTCCGGCCAAGTCAAACTCCGAGGCCAGAGGGTTGAATTGGGAGAAATTGAAGAGATTGCCTCGAAGACTGACGGTGTTCACCTTGCCATTGCAAGCGTCATTGACGACGTCCTCGTCCTTTTTTGCGCTGCAGATCATAATGTCAAGGCCTCCAATGTCTCCGACCAATGCAAGGCATGGTTACCACCTTACATGCGTCCAGGTGAGATTGTGCTGCTCGACGACAATGTGCCTCGACTACCTTCTGGGAAGATTGACCGCAAAGCACTTGAACGAAACTATCGAGAACGCCGGGTGTCAATCACCCACGAAACCTCTTTCAAGAACTCGGTAGAGGAGAATGTAGGCCGAGTATTGAGCGATGAGCTGAGATGCCCAGTTGACAGGCTGACCTCGTTCTGGTCATTGGGTGTTGACTCTCTCCGAACCATCAAGATTGCGTCTCGATTACGCCAACAGTACAACTGTGTCAACGCCGCGATGATCTCAGAAGCCGACAATGTGGCCACGCTCTCAAGTCTTATCACCAAGTCAAAAGATGCAACAAGTGAAAGGACACAGCCTGACTACGCAACTTCAGACGAATGGAAAGGCATCACGGCAAAAGTGATACATGACCTGAACAACTCGAGCCTCAAACTGCCCTATGACAAGATATTGCCCTGCAGTAACATGCAGGTTGCAATGCTAGTTGAAACCGCCGCAAAAGAAGATCAGAATTTCAACAGAATTTGGCTCAAACTCGGGTCGGGTCTGACACTGCGACACTTGCGCCAGGCATTTCAAAAGCTTTCAAGGAACAATGAGATCTTGCGATCCGGATTCGTCCCGACCGGGAAACAAGAGATGCCCTTTGCTCAAGTCGTGTGGCGAGACCTCCCAGACGAACCTGAATTGAGTATTTTGCGCCCCTTGAAGCTGGAAAATGCCGGAACAGAGGATGAAAGAGATGTCTTGGTATGGATTCACCATGCGTTGTATGATGGATGGTCTTGGGACTTGATCCTAGACGATTTAAATGTCATCCTCTCTGGAGAAAACGCGCCCGTCAGGACTCAATTTTCCGAATTTCGCTCGAGCGAGCACGATCGCTTGAGGTCGGAGCAGACAGAAAATGTCGAGTATTGGCAAAATCAACTCCAGGACTTCAAGCCCTCAGCATTTCCGATGCTAACACCTGTTCGACTGGAGAGAACACCCAGAAAAACCACAGAGTCGCCACTCGCCATAACTTATGAACAGCTCTCTCACTTTGCGTCAATTGCGTGGTGCAGTCGAGAGACGATTTTGGAGGCGGCATGGTCACTTTTGCTCTCATCGTATCTCGATAACGCCGACGTCGCGGTCGGAGTGGTTGTGGCTGGTCGCCATTTCTCACTGGCAGGGATCGAATCCATCATTGGGCCGTGTCTCTCGTTATTCCCTCTCCGCGTGAATGTCAGTGCTCTAAGGACGGTACATGATGTCCTCAATCACGTCCAAAGGCAACGCAACCAGTTTCTTCGACATGGGAACATTACATTAAGGGACATCAACAATGCAGCAGGTCTCCGCCCTGGGGACAGGTTGTTCGATACGCTGTGTGTTTGGCAACAAGACAGCGAAGTGGATCATAGGGATCGTTCCAAAGTTGCAAGCCTGAGATCGCAAGATACCTTGGACTATGCCATTGTGCTAGAATTCGAACCCCGTCAAGGTCAGGTCTATTTCAAGTTGACGTTCGACACAGACCTTATTCCAGAAGATCAAGCAAGGCTTATAACTCGTCAGTTGGACAACGCTGCCTCTCGAATCGTGAGCAGCCTTGACCTTAGTCTGAACTGCTTATGGGAAAGTTTTGACAAGAACACCTTGTCCTCGACCAACACGAGCTTCCGAAAGTTCAGCGAAGACTTTGATCTGACAACCACCATCTCACGACTTGCAGATTCGTGTCCAGGCAGAGCAGCCGTCGAATTCGTGCATAGTATCGACGAGCGTACGAGCCAGGTGACAAAGGAAATCCTCACATATGGAGACCTCCACAAACGCGCCCGGATTGTTGGCCGGGTGTTACAGACTAAGTACAACGTGCAGATTGACGATCTTGTCTGTCTGATAGGCCCTCGATCGTCTCAACTCTACATTGGCATCCTCGGGACCATCATAGCTGGGGGCGCCTATATGTGCATCGACCCGCGAACGCCCGCTGCTCGAATCCGCCAAATTTTGAGCGAAGCCAAATGCAGGCTTACCTTGTTCACAGGGGATGTGCCTTTATCGAACGAGATAGATGCGCCAACGCCTGTCTCCATTGCCAGCGTGTTGGAACTGTATTCCATGACAAGTAGTGATAACCACCGGTCTTTGAAAGGTGATCAATTAGCATACGCTGTATTCACGTCTGGCAGCACTGGTGTTCCGAAGGGCGTCCTCCTCAGCCGTCGAAACTTGCTCAGCAATCTGGAGGAGTTGTCACGTATTTACCCCTGCGACCCCGAGACAGATCGACTGCTTCAAGCCTGCTCACCAGCCTTCGACGTCTCGGTTTTTGAGATCTTCTGGGCATGGCACAAAGGTATAACTTTGTGCACAGCGTCAAACGATGTGCTGTTTAGAGACCTGGAATTCTTCATCAAACAGCTGGATATCACGCATTTGAGCATGACCCCTTCGGTAGCTGCTCTTGTTCGACCTGACAACGTCCCAAAGGTGAAATTGCTGGTTACTGCTGGAGAACCTATGAACTCGAAGGTTTTCTCGGATTGGGCTGACCGTGGACTGTACCAAGGCTACGGTCCGAGTGAGACGACAAACATATGTAACGTCCGGCCCAAGGTCTCGAAATCCGACCTGCCAAATAATGTTGGTCCTCCGTTGCTGAATACATCCGTCTTTATTTGCCAAAGGCAGACCCCGAAGCAGTCCGATACCACTGATTCATCCAGTCACCAGTCCACCCTGCATTTTCAGCAAGTTATCAAGGGAGGTGTAGGTGAGATATGGATCGGGGGAGAACAGGTCGGACGCGGATATATCGACCCGGTGTTGACCTCGAAGAGCTTCTTTGATCATCCTGAATATGGTCGGCTCTACCGCTCAGGCGACATCGGAAGGCTTCTTTGCGATGATTCCTTGGTCGTATTAGGTCGTGAGGACGACCAGGTCAAGCTCCGGGGACAGAGAATTGAGCTAGGAGAGGTCAATTCCGCCTTGGTGAGGTGCAGTCAAGTTGAAGATGCGGTATCCCTGGTCGTTACCAGAGGAAACGAAAGTGCGAGTCTGGTTGCTTTCTGGACACCACGCCAATCCTACAGATCTGCAGACCCCGACGACCTGAATGCCACCATCTTCGAAACGTTGGCAAATAGCTTGCCAGACTACATGATACCTGATAGCCTCATCCACCTTGACAAGATACCTCTGACGCGTCAGGGAAAGATCAATCGCTCGGATTTAATCACCCACTATCAAAATCTCAGCACAGAACAGCTCCAAGCCACGTCTAGAGGCGGTAAGGCGGAAGGTGTTGATCAACTCTCCGATTCGGAAAAAATTCTTGCCCGTGCCGTGGCCGATGCCCTTGGAGTCAGCCTTGCAAATATCAGCCGTACTACCTCTTTCTATGCCCTTGGTCTGGATTCGATCAGCGCAATACGCGTCTCAAGAGCATTGCGAGACCATTATCCTATGGTGGAGATATCCTCATTGATGCAGAACCCATCCATCTCACAACTAGGGAGATACATTGAGAAACATGTTCCGAAGCACAATACGTGCAACGGCAAGAAAAATATGGGTCGTCTCACTGAAAAGTGGGAAGAGGAAATCCGCAGTCTGTATTCGAGGGCAGGCCTGGAAGTCGAGAAGATCCTTCCCTGTACCCCTCTACAAGAATCTATGGTGATCAGCTCGATGAACACTTCTTCTCGAGCCTATCGGAACACTCTGCGTTTCAACGTCAGTGGCAGCGTCCCGAGGTTACGACATGCCTGGCGGGACGCATTAGCAAGACACCAGATCCTTCGTACAGGCTTTGTTGCAACTGACTCCGCTGATTTTCCTTTTGTGCAAGCAGTCTTGAAGAATTTCCAGCTTCCCTGGTTTGAAGAAGATACCCAACAGTTGAGCTCTGATTTGGAGGGTCTCATGGTCCCGCCATGGAGCCTTGAAGTCAGAGGGAAGACAGAGCTGATCCTGAGAATGCATCACTGTCTATACGACGCAGAGGCAATGGCCGTTCTGTTAGACGAGATTCAATCCTTGTACCACGGTCACCAACTGGCTCCGACAACCCCCTTCGATAGCTATCTGTCGTTCATGGAGATGTCGAACACGGATGACACATATGATTTCTGGCGGAGAAAGCTACAGGGAGCTACATTATACAAACTAAGTGAAGCCATATTGCCTGAGGACAAGGCTGCTCCTGACACTCATTTGTTGGTTGAACGGAGGTCTACGATGTCTGTCTCAGAAGTGCAACGATGTGCGCGAAAGATACATTCGACTCCATTGGCTCTATTTCAAGCTCCGTGGGCTCGGCTTCTCTCTTGCCTCTTTGATAGTCAGGATATCTGCTTTGGAAATGTCCTTAGCGGTCGGAACCTTCCTATCGACGGCGTGGAGACGATGGTCGCTCCATGTTTCAACACAGTTCCAACCAGAGTACAATTGCGGCCAGACGAATCGAATCAAGAATTGTGCAAGGGCTTTCAGCAGATAAATGTCGAGATTCTACCACATCAGTCGAGCTCGCTTCGTCGAATCCAGCGAGCAGTAGACACCCAAGGCAGAACGTTATTTGATACACTTCTGCTGCTCCAACAAGACGGACTGCGGCTCGACCATCTGGTTTGGACTCTGGTTGAGGAATCAGGGGATATGTCTTTCCCTTTCATACTTGAGATCACGATGGATTCACGGGTTGATGCCATCACCCTGAGACTGCACTCTGAAGTAGCTGAGAAGAAGTTACTCGGTCGATTTCTGGACATCTACGACGCCCTTCTCATCCACACGGCCAGATATCCGCAGTCAAGAACATTGGATCATTCATTTATTGCTGGCATGTTGCCACGACTACAGGCTTCTACGCCATTCACTGTTCTTGCCTCCACACCACCCACAGACTCCTTTGATGCACCGGGGCACATCAATGAAACACTGTCTCGAACGGAAACATTGGTGAGGGACATACTCGTCCAATTAAAGCCTGGTTCGCATGCAAAGATCTTCAGAGACACGACGGTATTCAGTCTTGGCTTCGACAGCATCAATGCCGTACAGATTGCAGCACGGCTACGGAAAAGCGGATTCAACATATCGACTGGAGCTATTTTGGAAGCTGCAAGCCTCGGAAATATCGCCAAAATATGCGATTCAGGGGCGCCACGAGACTCCAAGCATCAGACTTTTGACCTTGAGTCCTACGAAAAGCGTTGTCGCCGATCTATCTGTCAGAATAACGGCCTCGACGAGACTCATGTCCAGTCCATATGGCCCTGCACACCTACTCAATCAGGGATTCTTTCGCAGTTCCTCCGATCGAGTTACACGCTCTATCTCAATCACATGCATTTCGGCTTGGATAAAGACGTGGATGTACCAAGATTAAAGCATGCATGGAGTCTTGCTATGCAAAGACACGCAATGCTAAGGACTGGTTTCGCTGAGACCGACGATCCCCAGACTCCATTCGTCATGATAACCTATCTACCAGATGCAGTACAGCTACCTTGGGTTGACGATTCAGTGCAAATACCCCAAGAGAGAGGTGAAGCCAAATCAAGAAACATGGACAATCTCACTCAACCACCATGGCTCATTCGGGTGACCAAAAATGGCTCCGCTCTGAACCTTGAACTATCCATGCTGCATGCTCTGTACGATGCACATTCTCTAGATATCATATTGGCCGATGTTGTACGTGCGTATGCGGGTTTCGAATTTCCCGTGGGTGCTTCTCTTGCTCCAGTCGTCTCAAAAATCTTAGGCTTGAGCAGAGACGAAAGTTCCAAGCCATTCTGGTTGGAAGTATCGGCTGATATGTGCTCAACTCGCTTTCCAGAGTTGGGGGTCTACAATCTAGAGGTTGACAACCATTGCGTCGCGACTCGGCAGTGCAGTCTGTCTCTAAAAACCCTCGAGGATGCATGCGCAAATGCTGGAGCAACAATGCAATCTTTGGTTGCTGCAGCTTGGTCTGTATTACTTTCGGCATACACTGGCCAGGATCATGTCACATTTGGTGTCATCCTTTCCGGTCGGGATTTCGAGGAAGAGGAAAACAAGGCAGCGTTCCCTTGTATCAACACCGTCCCGTTTGCGATGAGACTCTCTCAAGACAGGAGTGATCTTTTACAATCAGCCGTTAAGCGATGCGCTGGTGTATTGAAACACCAGCATACTCCACTAAGCTCGATCAAGCGTTGGGTGCAGGCTGAAGGCGATCTGTTCGATACTGTGATCGTTCTGCAAAAATACGATGCAGACGACGGCCCAAAGAGGCCGTGGACGCTCGCCAAAGACGATGCAACTGCAGAATATACACTCTCCTTGGAGCTCATACCCCAAGAGAACGACGTATTGAATCTTCAGGCAACTTTCCGTAACCAGGTGATACCACCGGATCAAGCCGTGTATATCCTTCAAGAATTCGAAGAACAGATGAAAGTCCTGCTCGCACAAACGACATCTAATTCGACGCTGCCAAAATCTGTCCTGTCGATCGTGCCTGCAAAAGAAGAACGGATTCCGACCACGGTCCGCTACCTGCATGAATTTGTGGAGCGGACAGCAAGAGAGAAACCAAACAGTATTGCCCTAGAATTTGTGCAAACCATTCACAGGAACACCCCTATAAAGCAAACTTGGACTTATGCCCAGTTGGACTCGAATGGAAACAAAATCGCTCGACTGATCCAGAGCAAAGGGATAGAAGTTGGAAGTCTCGTGGCTGTTTGTTTTGATAAATGTCCCGAAGCCTCCTTTGCAATATTGGGGGTTCTCAAATCCGGATGCGGTTACATTGCGATTGATCCCGGGGCGCCAACTTCGAGAAAGGAATTCATCCTCCGCGATTCTGACTGTGGAATTGTCCTCACAATTGACGATAAGGTCTCGGAATTTGACAGCATTCCAGGCGTTTGTAGTTTCGCCATTGACAATGACAGTTGGAAGGAGTTGTCGAGCGAAAAGCCTTCACTCTCGAAGGAACTGCAAGTACAGGACGTCTGCTACTGTCTGTACACCTCGGGAACTACAGGAACACCCAAAGGATGCTTGATCAGCCATGACAGCGCAGTCCAGGCAATGTTGTCTTTCCAGCGGATTTTCGATGGTCGATGGAAGGAATCATCCCGGTGGCTGCAGTTCGCGTCCTTTCATTTCGACGTCAGTGTGCTTGAACAATACTGGAGCTGGAGCATAGGCATCATTGTAACTTCGGCACCCCGAGATCTCTTGTTCGAGGATCTTCCAGGGACTATCAACGCCCTCGAGATAACTCATCTCGACCTGACCCCCAGTTTGGCAAGGCTACTCACGCCCCAAGAAGTGCCGAATCTATGCGAGGGAGTCTTCATCGTTGGCGGTGAGCAAGTCGGCCAGGATATCTTGGAGACCTGGGGCGATACGGGTTGTCTTTACAATTTCTATGGGCCAAGTGAAGTGACGATCGGTTGCACAGTACACCGGCAAGTACCCAAGACTGCGAAGCCTACCAATATTGGTCAACAATGGGACAACGTAGGCTCTTTCGTTTTAGAGCCCTCATCGCAGACTCCAGTTCTCCGTGGGGCGATCGGCGAGCTTTGTTTGTCTGGCCCTCTTGTTGGTAAGGGATATCTCAACCGACCCGACCTTACAAAAGAGAAATTCGTAACGTTGGCTGAATATGATACGAGGGTTTACCGAACTGGTGATCTCGTCCGTCTCCTGCATGATAACAGCTTCGAATTTCTGGGCAGAATCGACGATCAGGTCAAGTTGCGTGGGCAGCGCTTGGAAATCGGGGAGATCAATCATGTCGCTCTCAGTGCGGATAGTCGCGTCAAGGACGTTGCTACCATGGTCTTGAAGCATCCAACACAACAGAAAGACCAGCTCGTGACTTTCTTCTCTACGGCTCAAAGACGGGCAAAGAACGAGAAACCATCGATTGTAACTAACAAGGAGACTCAGGATCTGGCTACAAAGATTCGATTGAACTGCTCTGACAAATTGCCAGCGTACATGGTGCCCTCACACATTCTTGCAGTCTCATCTCTTCCCTTATCAGTCAACAATAAAGTTGATCAGAAATCGCTGAAAGCGATATATGAGGAGCATCTGCCTGGTTCAGCGCAAGACGAATCCGACAGAAATGTTTTGACGCAAGAAGGCCTTCAGCATTACAATGAGATGGCCAGTGTGCTAGCATCTTTCTTGCGAATCCAAATATCAGACATCAAGCCAAGTTCGAGACTATTCGAACTCGGGCTGGACTCCATCTCAGCCATCGGTCTCGCTAGAGCGCTCAAGCGGCAGGGATTCCAGAACGCGGAAGTGGGAACGATCCTGAAGCACTCTGTCGTCCAAGATCTTGCCCGAGTCATTACGCGGGAGGCCACTTCACACCAGAACGACATGGTGGACACTGCTCGCCAGAAAATCCAATCATTCAGTAACGTCCATACTGGAAAAATCGCACAAAGCATGAACGTCTCCCTAGAAAGCATTGAGTGCATCGCACCCTGTACGCCACTACAAGAAGGCATGATTTCCAGGGTAATGCAGGCCGACCCTGACGATACGGTTTATTTCTCCTGCTTCCTCTTTCAACTCGATTCGAACACCGATATACAGCGACTGAAAAGTGCGTGGGATGCCTCCCAGCGGTCAATTTCTATCCTCAGGACATTCTTCGTACCAACAGAAGATGGCTTTGCTCAAGTTGTGCTGCGCGAAACCGACAGCGCGGTGAAGATCGTCAGCGAGGCCAGAAATGGCGACGTTCGCAAGTTCGAGAAGTCCTCCTTCAGAGACTGGGTCAGATCTGCAAGGTCTCTATCTACGTGTTTGCCCTGGAAAGTTCAATTGGGAAAGTCCGGAGATGGCGGCTTCATGATACTCCAGATCTTTCATGGACTTTATGATGGAAGCAGCCTTCCAATACTGCTCAAGCAAGTCAAGCAGCGGTATCAGCACCCAGAGGAGACTGGGAAGCCGAAAATGCAGTTCTATCAAGCCTTGCCTCATGGACCACTGTCTCAGCTGCCAGACGAGAAGGAATTCTGGCTGTCACACCTCCCTCGCATCCAACCTCACAAGCTGCCATTGGTCCATGCCGAGCTTGAGACAGATACTCATGCTGTCATCTTGAGGCATCATCTAAGCATTGACCATTTGCAAACCTTGTGCAATGAATTGAACGTTACAGTCTCGGCCTTTTTCCAGGCTATGCTACTCTATGTGATGCAGAGAGAATTCAACTCCAGCCCGACAATAGGTGTGGTAGTCTCAGGCAGAGCCACAGCCACAGAAGAGATAGAGGATGTGATCGGCCCAATGTTCAATACCCTGCCATGTGCCATCAATTCTCTCACCAATGGTGCATCAGTCTCGGATCTCGTCCGCGCGTGCCATCAGTTCAACGTGGATATCATTCCGTATCAACATACACCTCTGAGGAAAGTTGTTCACTTCCTTGGACTAAGTGCAAGCCAGACTCTGTTTGACACGTTATTTGTTTTCCAAAAGACAGTACCGGCTGTCGAGGACCGCGCGTTCTGGCGCGAGATTCCAACAGACAGCTCGCCAGATTATCCGCTGAATATCGAGGTCGAGCAGAACGGCTCCGAGTTCGACGTCACCCTAGTCGCGAGGCCGCAATACATGGACAAGAAAAGCGCCAGTCGGTTGTTAAACATGTATCTTGACGTTGTTCGCAGACCGGAAGAGATGACCGCAATCCTACACCCGGACTTTTGCCTATCACAGGACTCCAGGACCCCGAGTGGGGATCATAAAGCGGACTTGACAATCTCGAATCATGTTCATAAAGACAACGATACCGCATTGAACGACACAGAGACAATTATTCGCTCGGAAATGGCCAAGCTCGCCTCTGTGGACGAAAGGATGATTCACCGTCACAGGCCAACGATCTTCGAACTAGGCTTGGACAGTATAGAAGCAATGAAGCTAGCAGCTCGCGTCAAGAACAAGGGTCTGAGAGTGGCCGTGAGTACCATCATGCGGTCGCCAACCGTCGCAGGGATTGCTGCGGCGGTTACATCAAGCATGGAAACCCAGGCCGAAAGAGCAAGTCGCGAAAGGGCGTCTTTCATTAAGGAACGCCAGATCAGCTATCAACGTATGCTACAGAGCCACGGTGTCGGACTCGACAACGTACAAGCCATCTTTCCGGTCACACCGATGCAGGAAGGCCTACTCCTGGAATCTGACAAGTATCTCAATGTCATGACTTTCGAATTAGCTGCAGACATTGATCTGAACCGACTGATAAAAGCGTGGGAAACAGTCGCCCGGACAGAGCCAATCTTGAGGACACGCTTTGCTGTCGTCGAGTCTCCAGATAAAAAGACGGCTTTTCTCCAATATGTGGTGAAGGATGGAAGTGAGGTGACGGTCCTTGACACGAAGCTGAACGATGTGGTCCGAAACCTCAAAACGGTTCCAGATGAGCAACAACTGGTCGATCAAAGGACTCGTATCACTATTGTCCGCGATGAAACAGCCGCATTTCTTGTTCTTGCCATGCCGCATGCCTTGTACGACGCCTGGTCATTGCACTTACTGCACCAGGAGGTGATTGAGGCCTACCAGTTCCCGCATAGCAGAGCCCGAGGAGCGGCACTGGATCAATATAGGGAGCACCTCGAGGAGATCATCACACAAGGCGAGAGCTCAAAGGCTCGTGAGTTCTGGGAGTCTCAACTGCGGGATATCCAACCCACCACTTTACAAGCGGCCCTCGATGATCACAGTCACCACGGCTCAGCGTTTTTGTTGCGCAAGCAGTCCACGACCAGCTTAACCAATGCCCTCGACTTCTGCAGGCAGCAAGGAGTGACGCTCCAGACTTTGGGGCTTGCATGCTGGACAATGGCACTTATTCACTACACTTGCCAGGTGGATGTATGCTTCGGGCTTGTTCTTTCCGGGCGCACAACCGAGGGCTCGGATCAACTGATCTTTCCAACATTCAACACTGTCGCCTTCAGACCTCTCATTCAAGAGAATATGACCAAGGCAGAGGCCATCCGGAGAGTGCACGATGCAGTCGTGCAGGTCTCGGAAAATCAGCACTTTCCATTACGTGAGGCTCTTCGTCTGGCACGAGGACAAGGAGTGAGTGAAGATTTATTCGATACTTTATTCACCTTTCAAAAACTTCCAACTGTCGAACGTGAGCTTCCAGCATTGTACAACGAAGTCACGCCCGACGAGACAGCCGTCACGCCGCCATATCCTGTCAATGTTGAATTGGAAGGCGATGCAAAGGGTCTGATCTGGACTGTTGCATGCCAAGATGGAGTTTCCAGCCAAGAAATTGGACAGACGGTGCTGGAAAAACTGGATACTATCCTGGCAGCTCTGGTGAGAAATCCCGACCAAGACCTTCTGGGCAAAGAAGGCGGAAAGGTGTCAATATGCGGTCTCCCAGGAGTAGATCTAATCCGCAGCAAGGGCGACAGGCCAAGGAAGACGTCTCACATTGCTCAAGATCAGCACCAGTCCCATAGACCCGAAAACTGGAGTTCAACCGAGGCTGCCATTAGGGATGTCCTTGCAAAAGTATCCCACTTGGACAGAGAGTACATTAAAAAGAATACGGGCCTGTTCCACCTCGGGCTGGATAGCGTCAGCGCCATCAAAGTTGCTACTCTGCTCCGAAAAGAGGGCATTAGGCTTCCAGTAAGCGCGATCATTAGATCACAGACGGTTGAAAAGATGGCCGTGGCTGCTGAACAGCTCCAACGCGCAGGTCAGGAGACGGCCCGTGCGCCTAACGGGTTTGCGGAGAGCTCGTTTGTTCCTGAGAACATCAAGGGGGCCCTCACAATACCAGAGAAGGATCTCGAAATGATCATACCATGTACCGCGGGTCAAACGTACATGCTTAATATGTGGAGAGCAAGCAATGGGCGCTTGTTCTTCCCAATTTTCTGGCTGAAAGCGTCCGGTGTTTCGCTGGAGGATTTGAGGCAGGGAATGAAAAGGCTTGTTGATGAAGTTCCGATACTGAGGACTTTGTTTATCCACAACAGTGAAGGTGGATGGCCAGAAACATTTCAAGTGGTCGTCAAGAGCGAGGCAGTGGAAAAGTATGGCTTCCCCTGGGCAGTGCGATTCGACGTCCGAGGAGATCATTTACTTGTTACACTTCACATCCACCACGCCTTGTATGATGCTGTGAGTCTCCAGCTGCTGATCACACGACTCGAGAGATTGTGTGCTGGTACCGCACAGCCCAAGTTCAACACGGATATGAGCACTCTGATCTCGAACAACCGAGCATCTCGGTCGATGGCTCAAGAATTCTGGACGCGTTATCTCGGTGAGGGTGAAGGTACACTTCAACCCTTGGGTCGGGGTTCATTCGCAGCAAGGCGCGTTGAGAGATTCCATCCCAAACTAGTGCCGCTCGAGGGATTGATCAAGCAGCTAAAGCATCATGGCCTTAGCATTCAAGCACTCTTCTTCGCCGCATATGCCCGGATTTACGAGGGTATACATTGCCACCTGGGTACAGAACAACAGTCGACAGATACCAAATCGGATGTTGTGATTGGGATCTATCTTGCAAACCGGTCGCTTGATATCGACGGGATCATGGAACTACTTGCTCCGACATTCAGCATTGTTCCATTGAGAATCCGATCTGGGGGGACCCTTCTTCAGTCAGCATTACAGATCCAGCATGATCTGGGCGAAATCACGCGGCCAGAGAACTGCGGAGTGGATATGAGGGACATTAATACGTGGACGGGAGTCAAGCTGGACACATTTGTCAATTTCTTATCCCTCCCAAGTGATGAGGATTCGTCATCGTCTGGAGACCAAACGAGCAACGTTCGAATCACCCATGCGGAAACTTCGGGGAAGAAGGATAAATTTGAGGAGGTTGACGCGTCGTCGCCTTTTATGGACGGCATGGAGTGTGATGCAGATAGCACGACGTGGTGCTTGGTAAGTTCATCCCGTCTCACATCTCCTTGCTCTCTTCTGGCTGATTGACTGATATTTTGTCTTTGCAGCCTGCTATTGATATCGAGGCTAGAGTTGAAGACGGGTACCTAGACATGGGTGTCTTTGCTCCAGAAGATATGCTTTCGGAGGACGAGGTCAGCAGGGTCATGGATGAGATGAGGAGGTTGATGCTAGACTTTTGTTAGGTGCTGGCTGCGAGTCCGTGAGAAGTACGAGGTACGAGGGACTCGTGTCGGATTGTCTCACCATCTCCACTTGTCGTCTCTCTTGATAATTAATAATTCTGTATCTCGTAGAAAGAGATAGTGATGCTCACCGCTGACCTGGTGTGCCCAGAAAGAAACTCGGGGGCACGTTGAAGTGGACAATTTCCGATTCGTCGGCCGGATCAAGAGTTTCCGTCCATGCGTTTTTTGCTTGGGTAGCTTGGGTAGTATTATCCTCATGGCCCTTGCACGGGGCACCCTGCACGGCTCAGATTCTTGTTTTTTTTTTTGTTTTTTTTTGGTTATGCTCTGGGACCGATGACCCTGAGTTTTTTGTGCCTGGCTTGGTCACAGAGGGCTCCAGGCTTACATGTACATATGCCACATGGGGCGGAATGCGACATGTTAATTTGACGTCCTCCACAGCCCCCAGTCCAAGTGCCAACAGTGCGGAATTTCGGGTGTAAAGAGTCTCTGAGTTGACTTTTTTTTTTTTTTTTTTTTTGGAGGTGAGAAAAAAAAAGAGGATAGGGTATGGGATGGGATGGGATGGGATGGGGATGTACCAGAAACGAGCGTGGAGTAAATAAATAATAGCCCCTAACCCTACGAGGTCAGAGTGCATACCGTCCTTGACTCCTCGTAGTATTATTCAGTACCTGGGTGGTACCTACATATGTGGTATGTGGTCCGTCTCATCGCCTACGAGTATTCTCGCCTCCAAGAACCGAGTAGTAATAATCGGCAATAATCCATTCATGATGATGAATAGCGGCCCCCTCCTCCTCCTCCTCCGCGGCCGCCGCCACCTGTCCTGTCTTGTCTTGTCTTGTCCCTGGAGCTAACGGCGGCGTGGTTACCTAGCCAAGTAAGCGTGGTAAGCCCTGTCATGGCTGTCTGGGCCTCGTACCTGAGAAGGGAGGAGCCTCGCTGTGACTCGACTGCCTCGTAGTTTTAAGTACTCCGTACTCGGACTTTTGTTTGTATGTAGGTGTATATATATATATATACCGAATATATATATACCTATATAATTAATAATTATATCCATCAAACGAACCAGAGCGCAGAACCATTCCTCATTCTTCAATCTTCATTCCCCCTTGGAACAGTACTCCCCCTCCCCCTCAGGGGGCCGACCACAAAAATGTCCCTCCGCCACACCGCCACCACCAGCGCATCAAGCACACCGCGCGCGGCACCCTCATCAAGAGCAGCAGGAACCCGCACAGGAGACAATGAGGAAGAAGATGATGAAGAACCCGTCATCGCCGGCCCCTTCGTCCTGCACCATGGGTCCTTTATCCTCGAGTTTCTCCGACCAAAGCCGTCGAGGCATGCTTCGTGAGTATCCAGTCCAGTCCAGTGATACCCTGCCATTCATTTCCTATTTCATTTCCTATTTCCCGTTGTTGTTGGTTTTTATTTAAATGAAGAGATAAAGTTCAGAGGGAGTTGGGACTGGAGTTCGGACAGGGAGTAGAGCGGGGACAAAAAGGGACTTTTGTAAGGCAAGGCAAGGCTCCGTCAGGGGTCTCAGTCTCAATCAAGGCGTTGAAAGGTGGCGCTTTGCTCCCTGCCTATACCTACCAGGCTGATTGTTCCCTCCCCACCTACCTACGTACCTACCTTGGTATCTCGGTAACCAGGGAAACTCGAGGGGAGTCAGTCAGTCGCGCAAGGCTGCGACCAGACATCGTTTGGACATGGATTTTGGCGCTTCATTCAACACCTTCTCTTTTTTGAACACACATCTCAATCTTGATGCACTTACTGACTGACGGCCTCTTTCCCCAGAGTGTTGATGCGAGCCACGTACAAGCATGATCACCCGCTGTGTCGCAAAGGCAAAGCATATCCTCAGGTCTGCCGATTCTCTGTCTCAAGCTTGTAATGGTCTCGTTTCTGGGATGGCGTATACTCTTCGCTGCCCACAAGCAGACGCATCGCTCGACCACCAAAAGACGGTCGGACTTCGGTTGAGCGGTACAATGCTGATGGAATTCCCCTCGGACCCGTAGGCACCACCACTCCACCTGCACTTCCAACAATCCGAATCGCTGGCCGTGCTCAGCGGCGAGCTCGGCACCACGACGACATACTCACGAATCGACACCATCCACACACCTCAAACCACGCCTCCCGCTCGACCGCACCACATTGCGCCGTACATGCCTCACCAGATCTGGCCGTCGCCGAGCGCAAAGGAAGACACGACGATGCTGATATGGGCACACCCAAACCCCAAAGACATGGACGACAAGATGGACCGGCTCTTCTTCCAGACTCTGTTGCTGTACGTGAGTGACGTGAGCGAGGGCAAGGAGCCATTCTCCCTGTTACAAATCATGTTGATCCAGTTAAGTTTCTCTCAATATCTTCCCCACGCTCTTGGGCCTTGGCTTTCCCGCTACTTCAATTTCTTTTTTTCTTTTTTCTAACGATAGAGAAGACATATCTCCGCCACGGCTCTGGTCGTCTTGCCGGGCCTAACCTTCCTCGGGCCCCTCCGGTGGTGGATCCCTTGGCTGTTCCAGTGTCTGTGCGCCTACCTGGCCCTGTGGCTGGGCAGGAAACCCCTGCTGAAAAAGTACATGTCGGCCGAGGACTGGGAGGACGAGGATGTGCAGGAGCGGATCGGCATGTGGAGGAAGAAGGATCTTTGATTCTCCAAGGATTACAGAAGGGCGGGTGGAAAAGAGGGAGGAGGTCTCGCTAGAAGTCGTGTGTGTGTGTGTGATGTGATGTGATGCGGTGTGATACAAAGGGCCCATCCCGGTCTTTCTTTTAGCCAGTGTGCACTCAAGTGACCGTAGAGCACTCGTTTTGCGCGTGGGGTTCTCCCCTTGGTGTCGATTTCGGTTCAGCTGAGGGTGTGCCAGTGGATTGGTGGTTCGTTAAGATCTTCTCGACAACGGGGTGAGGGTGTTCGGGTAGTCGAGAGCCGAAGAGACGTTTCGGCAAGTAACAACGTGCCACGACACGATCCCGGCCGTCAACGAAGAAAGAGACGAAAGGCGCAAGGACGAAGAAGCACGAAAAGAATTCTAAGGTCATCCTATATCCATCGTGTCTGATTGGGTGCGCCAGTTTTGAATCAGAGTTTCGCAATCCAAGGTCAAAGTACCGCAGGACAAGTCGGGCAAGTCAGGCAGTCAATCTCAGTCTCAGTCGGGCATGCAGGCAGGCAAGGAATAGGAATGGGAATAGAATACCAGTAAAAAAATTACGAGGTGAACCAACACACAAAAGTCTATTAGGTATCGAAGCAAAAGGCAAGCAAAGGCAAGGTTTCTCCTACCAAAAAAGCATGAAGCGTTCCACTTCCACGCTTTTTCTTGCCTGATTTCTTTGCCCCCGTTGGCTTTTCGCCTTGCTTCGCCCTTACACAGGACTTTGACAACGCAGCAACAACAACAACAATGTGGAAAGGAGGGAAGAGGAGGGCAGGGGAAGGGGGGGGGGGGGGGTTCCTTGTACGATGCAAACCTTGTAAAACCTTGTTACACCGTCTCTATCTTGGGAGTTTTACTTCTACATGGGTAGTACAAAGGTTAATACAACCCACTGAGCAGCGTCGTAATAACAAACATGTCGTCTGTTATTGGGTATTGGATCACGATGAGAATCTGAATCCTGGACACCCTCAGGCCTTCAGGGCCTCAAAAAAGTCCCCTCCTCGCATCATGCATCCCACGACGACTAAGGAGGAGAGAGGGAGAAAGAACAGTCGTGTGGGCATCAATCAATTGACAATCCATCAAAGAGTATTGGATGAATCCCAGATCTTCTCCCCCTCCTCTGCTGGCCCCCTGCCCTGGTCCCTCCCTCCTCCCTCCCTTGTCCCGCCGGGACAAACTCTTCGTCTCAAGTTGTGTAACCACCACCACCACTCCATCTTGAAAGTGGAGTTCTGCGAGATGGAGGTTGGGCTGCAAACATCCTACGCCCTGTAATCTTTCCAATCAAGTGGCTTCTCCTCCCAAAGAAAAAAACTTTAAACCTCACACATGAGCAGGTCTGAAGAATCCATGCAGTTATATGCATGCATGCATGAGTGATATGTGGTCGTCATTGATCACGCCAAAAGAATCAAAAGCATAAGCGTAAAGGTTAAATTGATGCAGAGACATCGAGGGTGGTGTGGTGTGTGAGTGGATATGTGGGGGTTATCAGATCTAAAGACGTTCACGGATCTAATCTGATCGAGAATGGGGCTCCGGTTTCGGCGGCATTGGTGCTAGTTGGCTTCTGAGCACCTGGGGTTAAATGGATATATAGATAGATAGAGCCATGGACGTCGCGAGGGCGAGGCATAAGGAAGACTATCTTCGAGCGGAGGCATGAAGCATGTATCGACCGAGGTGATTCTCAGACACACATACACATAGAGAGAGAGAGAGAGAAACTGAAAATGAGGGAGGCACACGGCCTGGTTATCCGGGTACGTAAATGGAGTTGGGTGCACCCTACACGAACAAAAGCGTCAAAAGGGCCCTGAGAGGGTAGACACGAGCAAAGAAGAATGTTGAACAAGTGAACCGAAGAGAAGAGAGCATCATCAACAGGCCTCTCCTTTTCCTCGCCTACTGCTTTCGCGGGAAACGAGGCTGAAGGGGAAAAGGGGAAGAAGACATGCTTCGTTGGAAAGAGACGGCTGTGCACGACGACAACGGAGTAAGACAGTCATTGGTATCAAGGATGACTCTCCTGCTGCGTCCCTCTGTATATCGCTGTTTCGAAGGTAACATCTCACCGAGTCCCCTGCCAGCCAGGCTTGCCCCGAGAGTCTCACAACAAAGTCTACGTCCCCCTTGGACCGCCACACGGCATATCCACGCGGTCATGTCTTTGCTCGCCCCGTCTTCTTTTCCATTCTGTACAAAATGTCCTGCATCCAGCTATCCACTATCCAGCATGACACCTCCCGGTCACAAACAAGCACTTACCAGCAAGCAATTCCCAGACCGTCACTACAACCGTCAAACCAACTCTCAACTCGGAGACTGCTGGCCTCTGCTACTACGGCTGGCTCAGAGGCTGTAAATGAACTCGGGATTCTCCTTGTCGGTCAGATCGAGCCACCTGCACAGAACAAGAGTAAGCCATTGCATAATTGCATTGCGTTGCACAGCCGGACGACGCCGATGGTAACAAAGAACAAAAAGTGAGTCGGATGAAAGCCACAAAGGCAGAAAAAGAATGTTGGCCGATCGACATGTCACCGGCATCTCACCACAACCAACCTCGCCGTCGCCCGTCTATCTCAACCCCCAAACAAAACCTCTGGGTGGAATTGCAGACAGAGCATTGGGCAAGGAATGTCAAAGAACAGTGAGAGAGCACTTACTCCTGGTTTTCCAGCTTGATGTATCCCGGTTCGGCCCTTTCCCGCTCCTTTTTCTTGTTCATCCTCTTACAATACCACCAAATGAAAGCGAGGTCCAGAAGACATGCGCCCCAGCAAACAAGGATGGTAATTTCAGCCGGCCTATACTGCGGCGCGTCTTTTGGCCTAAAGGTTTGTGGGCCGATGATATTCCCGACGCAATAGCCGACGAGATACAATGCTGCCACGGTCGTCTTCTTGGTGTAACCGGCGACGTTGGTGGCGATGAGGGAGAGCAACGCCACAAAAGGTGTGGGAGACGCTTGGGTGAGATAATAACCCGCGAGCCGGCCCGCGTTGTTGCCTAGGGGCAGCGCAACAATGAGGATTATGCCCAGCATCGCGATGCACAGACCTCCCATCGAGACCAGAATCCGCTGACCAAGGCGATCGCCGAGCCACCCACAGAACATGAGGGCCACGACCTCGACCGCGCCGCCAGGCGTGCCGTACAGCAGAGATTGCTCGGGTGTATAGCCAAAGGAGACGATCTAAAAGGACATTAGAAGAAGCGCCGGCATAGGCTTGCATATTCGCAGGCAACAAGAATCACACAGGAATACCTACCAGTTGTGAAAAGAAGTTGCTGATGCCTCCATTGGGGATATCGGCAGTGAGGGCGTAAAAGGTGAAAGCCCATGTCAGTGGATCCAACAGAGCTTCCTTCAATTGATACCACTTGAAGTGCTTGTTGCCGATACCTTGCTGGTTGATCCTCACTCTTTCGACCGCCAACACCCGATCACGGGGCTTCAACCACCGCGCATTGAGTTGGTTGTCCGGCATGACAAAGAAAAATACCACCCCCAGCACGGCGGTCAGGCAGCCGTTGACGAGAAAAACAATTTTCCAGGGAGCAATGGCAGTCCCGTGCTTGCGAGCGCCGACGGCGATCCCATACGCGACGAGCCCGCCAAAGATCTGGCCGAAGCCGTTGAAGGAAAACCAGAACCCCGTTCGGGTGCCTTGCTCGCGCTTCGTATACCATTGAGAAGTGAACAGGGCGAATCCTGGAGTGACGGCTGATTCCATCACGCCGAGAAAGACTACCTCGTCGTCAGACGGTCGCACGAACAGCGTCGAGGGGCAGATACAGCATCACAAAGAACGACACGTACATCGTATAGCAACAGCACCGCCAAAGTTGGAGACGGTGGCAAACAATGCCAGAACCACGCCCCAGCCGACGACACAAAAGGCCGAGTATTTGGCGAGTGGCAGTCTCTGCAACAGTCGATTTGTGGGATACTCCCAAGCCAGATAGCCAAAGTAGAACATGCTGGACAGCCACTGGTAGTCATCCCCCACGAGGTTGATGTCCGTCTTGATGCCCATGATGCTGGCATATGACAAGGTCGTCTTATCGAGGTAATTCAACCCATACACGACGCAGAGCAGAGGCATGAGATGCCAGTCAATTATGCGCAACAGCCGCTTGTTAGTCGCCTCGTCAATCTCGACAACTTCGCCCGAGGCGAAAGCTTTCATCGCCTCGTCGGCATCCTTGCTATGCTCGAGGATTCTCTTTGCGGCGGCGGTAGACGACACCGAGGCCCGCCGCTCCTCTATGTTCACCGGTGAGACGGAGCGACCACCAGGAACATTGTGGACGGCGACCGACTTCTCGTTACCTTGGATGTCGCCCATGGTTGATGTTGACGAACTTCGAAGTATGTCGCGTGCCGCGGCAGGATAATGACGGAAGGATGCGGCTGAGGAGTCAGAGAAGCAATGTAACCCCAACTTAGAAACAAGGACTGTCGAATCTGTTACACGAAGCACTCGTGCCGTCGAGTTGCTGTCCCGAGGAGAAACACAGACTGACAACAGAGCCTCGAGATTGCAGACATCAAACAAAACAGGAAGCTGTCGACACTTTTAACATCAATGACAGAAGGACGGTTTATCTTCCCCGGGACCACTACCGAGACAATTCCGGGTCGCGATAGCACTGATAGGCAGAGCGGTTCTGGACTTCAAGAGACGTTGCATCACAGAATGAAGCAAAAGCCGGGGTTGGATAAGCAGTTCCCACCAAGGCACCTGATATTGCTTCATGTGGCATTGCATCAATCACAAACGGAGGAAAAGGTGTCGAGAGCGGGGACTAAAATGGGGAAGCTTAATGCGGTCAGTGGTTCAAGGAAATGGCATGGGAGCTGTTGTGTGTGGATTGCATAGAGATAGGAAGGAGGAGGACGATCAAAGGTTGAATGGTACGATGGATGGTTCGAGGGCGACGTCAATGGCGCCCGCTGCAAGCCAGGAATGATCGTC